ATAGCAATGGCATAATTACTAATAACACCACATTTTCCCTCTTGCTGTTGTTGTGTGCTTTTAAGTCATTTCCAACTTATCCTAAAGTGAAAGCTATCATAGGGATTTCTTGGCAAGGTTTGCCTTCCTTTTGAGACTGAACGAGTGTGACTTCTCAAGGTGGAATTACATGACCAAGTTTTGAAAATTGGAATCTGGTCTGCAGAACTTAATGCTCAGACCACTTCACCAATAAAAAGATGGGACAGGCTTGATAGTTTGAGATATTTATAACATCTGTTTAACAAGATAGGACTATGAGACAGTTTCAGCTCTCAAAGAGAAAAAGGGGATCTGTTGTTTGTATTGGGCACCTGTCCAAGTCAGGTGCCCAATAAAAATATATTTACACATTGAACATGTAAAAAGAGAGGTTGTATTACTTTACAACCAAAATAAGCAAAAGCTCTGTAATCAAAGCTACCTGTTCCACATTTTTGCCATGATGCCAAGTTGAATTAATCTGCACTTCTGTAGAATTGGTGGCAATCTGGTTTTATGGGAATTACTCGAATATTAAATTGCATATACTCACTGTGTTTACAGTGCTAGGTGGTGGCAATGAAATGGCATATAACAAACTTTACAGTTTCTGTTTCAGCACTTGGGAAACACTGCCCTTGGTTTGAAAGCAGTAAACAAAGGAAAAGTCTCCAATATGTGCTAAGTGGAGGATGACATATTGACGTAAGTGGCTGAAATAATCAGATTTGATGAACTGGGGATATTCTGATCCAAAAGGCCCATAAATAGAACCAACAGCTACACTGGAAGAGGTAGGATAACCCAAGCTGCAATTCCAAGTATACTAATTTAGCAATAAACTTCAATCAAGGTGAGTGGGACCAACTGTCACGTAGGGAGGCATAGGCATGCTGTAAATCAATTAATTGAAAAGGAAATTTTCCTTTAATAAAAATACAAGAAGTAGAAACAGACATTTTGTATTCTTCTTCAGATCGTGCTACCCATATACATAGTTTTTATTATAAATGACTACATATTTCTACCGTCAATATTTGTTATCTTAAACATTTCCTTTGGCGTTTCCCAGTTATTTCCACTATTCTCTGGAAAGATGTATTTGTAGGCAGCCATTACCAAAGCTCTTGGTCAAAACTAAAAACATGTTTAAGTGTTGTTGACTACATTTGAATTTAATATATATTCATGAACCTTTGTTGGGACAGTAATACAAATATTACCATGAACCTTATTTAAATTCTTTTAATTTCAAGGACTTCTTTTGTTCATATTGACATAAAGTTCACATGAAGCAACCACAGGGAAGAAGAACACATTCTGTCCATCTTATCAACAGCCAAAACATTGCAATAAACATTTTAAGCCTGTTATTTTCTTGCTGCATGCCCCAATTCCTTCCACACCTAAAAAATTGTGAACATTATATGATAAAAATATAAATTCAAGCAAAAAGCCCACACCCCTTTCCATACAGAAAGACAATATCCTAGCAAAAATTAAACAGGATAATAACAAATTAAGATTGCACTTAATTTTTTTTATTATGATCAAACTTAATATATTCCTTGAACAAGATTTAGACTATATAATAAACACATTTTCCATAATTTATAACTTTTAAAACATATATTAATCTTTTGGTGGAAGTATATTTATTTCATGTGCACCAAAATAAAACACTCTTGAGTCTTTTTAAAAGTACTGCATAAAAAGTTAGAAAGAAAACCTCCGTTTTAACATTTACAAAAAAATTGAGAGGCAAGGTTCATTTTTTAATATAAAAACCATTAACAGATTTGGAAAAAAAAATCACATACAACAGTCTCACCATTAGGAAATACATTTATGACAGATACTACTTTGTTATTGTTTTCTAAGGAAAAGCCCTATTTCTTGAATAGCCATAGCACACTTTTAAAAAACGGAAACTGACAGTATAAAACTTGTTATACAAACCGTAGAAAAAAACTTTCACAATTGGTTCACATTCTCCTTTCTTTGCACACAAGTAATACTGATCATTTGTGAACATGCATCACATAGCATGTGATACCAAGGGACAAGGGCACTATCACATATCTCAGTTATAGCCCTACAATTCCACCTTAAATGTTATGGTTGCAACCCCAAACCCGGGGGTTTGTCATTTGGTGAGGCACTACAACTCTCTGGATGAGAACGCTAAACATTCCTCTTGAAACTGCAGATTCCACAGTTCCAAAGGATGGAGCCAGGGCAATTAAAGTGGAATCAGAGAATTATACTTTTGTAAGGTGACAGGGCCCACAGCATAGTATGTTAAAACTCTCCAGGAATTCCTTTTAATTCTGAACAACTTTAGTCAATTCATTTAACTTCTTCAAATGATGATAAACTGGGAATAATTAAAAAAATTGGGGAAGAGATTAAGATGTCAGTTGTTATTTTGAGATTAAGATGTCAGTTGTTATTTTGAGAATTATTGCAATTTGTTTGCAGTACAGAAGCAAAATGTCTTTATAGTACTACTGATCAACAGACTTCATTTTTTTTTAAAAAAAATGGCAAGTACAAAATATGAGGAAAGCTACAATTCTAACTTATTTTGGGAAAAATTCCAAATGGCCTCTACTTGAATTATGTGCAAAGGTCAGGAACCTTCCATTCTCTAGATATTTTGTACTTCACCTCCCGGAACATCTCCACGGATGGAGGGCCTCTACTGGCATTAACTGAAGTTCAATGGGAACAGAGTATGAAAGCCCAATGCTTTGTAGACCTTTCATACCCCTAGAGCTGATGTGGTCAATTGCCAGGGATCATGGACCACAGTAACTAAGGAAAAAATTGTTGCTAGAGCCACACTCTCCATGTTTTACTCTCTATGGGCTATTTTAAGGCAAGAAAAAGCCTTTTCATACTAAAAGGCTCACCTGTTGGAATGGGCTTTTCCTGGACCTAAAGTCCCTTTTGGGATCAGAAATTTTAGGCAGCAGGAAACACAAATAGCTTTAGGAGCCATGCTTTCTGAACCCCTGCCCCAGAGATTTTCTGCTTTGATTACGTTTCAAAGAAAAGCAGAATATTTATTTCTTTAGAACTTTTGTATCCCATTCTTTTCTATCTTTGTGGAGGGACTCAGAACGGCTAATACATACCCAGAAGCTGTGGCATTTACTCACATTTCTGTAAAGCATTTCCCTTTTCTTTAGCAAAATCTGCTTCTAAACCAGTCCTGAGTTTTACTATTCAGAAGTTTTAAAATATTCCTAGTAGGGGCATGGAGCTGTTTTTTTGGAAAGGAAAGCATAAAAGCCACAGCACACAAAACTGGCACTCAAACCTATAAAAACATACTCAAACACAAAAATTCTTCCACTCTTTGTAATTAAAGCATGACTGAATCTCATAATCACTCAGTTAGGGCTGAACACCAAACATTGCTATCTTATGCCACAACAAACCAGCAATTAATCACAAACTAATTTTGATGCATGTGTAGCATTAATGCCCTCATTTCTTAACATGTAAGCACATTAGAGCAAGTATAAGATGTCATTAGCAGTGAGTCAGTTTTAAATTTGAATTCCTGATCAGAAAAAAAGAATTGAAAGCAGTTCATATCTAGGCTAATATTTCTACTTTGCCATTTAGACACTGTTATTTGTCACCTGATTCCATTTATCATTCTCAACGGCAAGAGAATCAATAACTCAAATACTTGAATAAATATGTGAATGGATGGATGTGGATCCCTATGTACACAGAGGATTCTGCATAATCTGAACATATAAGACTATTTTGGAAATGTATCCTGACCATTGTCTTAGAAACAGGTGTGGAGTGAATGGGGTTTACATGCTCTTAACTGCAAGCATGATTGTAGTCCAATGTCACAATAAAGTTAAGTTAGGTATGCTTAGGTCCAATGAAATCTTATGTCTCAATCGTACTTAATTCTACACTTGATTGCGGCTCAAATATTTTAATCAAACTTTTAAACCAATGTACAACAATGCCCAAAGTATGTTACAGGACAGAAACATTCTGCTAATTCTGAATCCTGCATTTATCAAATACGACACGTCACATTTCCCTCTTTTGTGACCCAGGCATACTTAACAAAAATTCTGCATTTTTATTTTATTTACACATATGTAAATATTTACATTTGCATTTTCTATTGTAATAAAACACATACACAACAAAACAAGTCAGAAGAAATCACATACAATGTAATTTTTAGCACTCATTCAAACCTGTTTCATTGCAAAACTAATATAATTTGAATTAAGATCCCTGCTGCCTGCTGCTCATCACATAACTCTGGTTACCAAAATATCTATAGAGTATCAACCTCTAGGGATCAAATCAAATAAAGAAGTGCCTTTTATTTCTACTCTCTTCCTTCAAAATCTCTTTAAAATAGCTGGCAGCAGGCTGGCTGCTACTTTACATATAAAAATCCAAATATTCACATATTGCTAACTAAATTGTATCTTGTACAATATCCATACATAAAATGTCAGTAACCAAAAATCCATGTAAATTAAAGTTTTCAATTATGGTCAAGTTAACTCAAAGGAGGTTTTATTTGTTATTGCTAGCATTCGAGGTCAACACAGCAGCACACTCAAATCACATCTTCCCTTACGATCAAATGAATAACCAATATTTATATGGAGCTAATGAAAGTATTCTCCATAAAAACAATAAATTAGTTGCAGGACTCCCATTACTGCTTTTTATATGAAGGCATATGCACTGGTATCACAGAATAAGAAAGGAGTAATCAGATTTTAATGAATATTATATTCTGTACCTAGGAAACCCTAGACCATATTACCTCCAAATGTGAATAATTTACTTTGCGGATAAATCCATTTATCATAATCTCCATGACCAAAACAGCATCAAAATTTTGTTAGATTCCTGTCCCTCTATATGTATGTGCAAATATTTTACTCCGTTGATGCAGCATTAGAAACATCATGGAATTTTTAAAAACTCCCTGTAGGCACTCTTTGTACTTTTTTTTAATTATGTGTCTGCTCATGACTCCAAAGGCTAAACGCAGTTTTGAATGTTCTGTGACAGAGTTTGCACATATACTGTCTTTTGAATGTGATAGCTGAAAGGGGTGGAGCATGGTAAAAAAGAGTGTCTGACTCCTGTGGAACAAACAATTTCTCAGAGGCTGAAGTGGCTTCTGACAAGGCTGTAGGGCTATCAGGTTCCAAAGGTTGTATTTTGGGGAGGGATGGGGGTGGAGGCAACGGCGGGGGTGATGGAGAATTAGCTGATGTGCATATCCCAGTATCTTTACGCACCAGCTCCTCTGAAGGTTGTGCCATATGGGACTGGAAATGACTCCACAAACGGAAATTGGTTCGGAAGGCCTTGTTGCACACATGGCAAATGAAGGGCTTTACAGAGCACAGAAGCTCCTGGTGACGTTCTAGTTGTTTGTGTACAGTAAAAATTTTCCCACACTTTTCACAGGGCCACAGACCAGAATCTTTATTAGCCAGCATTTCCTTGTGCTCCTGACTGCCTTCAGAGACCTCTTCCTCTACATCATCTGCAGGTTCTTCTTTGATCTGAACTTTAAATTGTTTGGAAACACTAAGATCTTCAGGGAGGCACGAGGAATCTTCTGAATCAAAATTAGTATGTTCTGAGGAATCACTATCTTCTTTGGCTGCAACAAAGTTGTTCATTCTGTTCGTCTCTGACTGGGGATGTAGCCTTGGAGCATTATTAACTTCACTGTTGTGCTCCAGAACGGGTAAAGAAATATTGTCTGTGGGAGCCATACTATTTTGATTGTGGACTTCAACTTGATGACGCCAAATACTGAAGGAGGATTTGAAAGTGCGCATACATTCTAGGCAAGTGAGCTTCTTATATTCGCATGTGATTTCATGGTTATGCTTCAGCTCTAGAGACGAAAATCGAAGGCTGCAATAAATACAAACAGTTGCATTCCGACAGAGCCGCTCATGATTTCCCTGTTCAATAATAGAAGAAAGTTTAGCATTACAAAGACGACACTGGTAAATCTTTTTGCTTTCTACTGGACTTTCAGTGCACTTATCCTCTTTTGGTTTAAGAGCTTTATTTCCTCCAACTGATTTTTCCCCTGGATGCATTTTTATGTGCTGTTTAAACTGTGATAGGAAGCGATATGCTTTCCCGCAGTAGGTGCAAATGTAGGCTCCTCTGGCTCTTGACCTTAGATTTCTTTTAATAACTTGTTGGGCTTGCAACCCAGTCTGTCCCTGAAAACCTTGCTTGCCACGCCTTAGTTTAACAATGAGAGCCTTCTTAATTTCTCGTTCTCTCACTATATCAATTAATTTCCTTTGGAATTTTTCATCCAGCACAGTATGTGAGCTGGAAGCAGGTGAAGGGTTCTTCACAATCCCATGCTGTGTTTGGCAATGTGTCCAAACTTTGAAGTTTGTGTGAAATCTCTTATGGCAAATATCGCAAGCATATGGTTTCTCGGGATTATGGTACATGTTGACGTGACGATGAAGGCCTGCCGTAGATCTGAAAATCTTAAGACAGTGCTTGCACTTAAACTTTTTGCTAGGCTTTGTTTCTTCTAGTTCACCACATTCATCTTTGCTAATGTCTGAATCTAGGTAATCAACAAAAGGTATAGGTTTTGAGTTTTCCTCAAAATTATCCTCTGATTCAGGGGAAGCACGTTCATCAAACTTAATTTTTTTGGGTGGCAGCCTTCTGTCAGCTTGAAATCTCCTTTTAGCTGGAAGTCTACTGAGATCCCGATGTTCATCTTCAGTTTTAACAGGGTTGATTTTATTGACAGATGATGATACATCCCCCACAGTAATTCTTATTATTTCAGAAGGATCAGCGAGTGGGCTGCTAGGTTCAGTTTTTATTCGTATTTCCCTAAGAGGAGAAGCTGCCTCCCTGTCTGTTGACTGGGAGGCACTAAAGGATCTAAGGCGATGTGGGTGTATTACCTGTGTCTTGTCATCAGGAGTTGCCTTTTCTGAAGATGTCTTTTGAGAGGCTACATTTAGCATTCTCCCTTCTGTTTTGTTTGCCACTGGAGATACTTGGGAAAGCTTCAGATCAAAAGATGGTGAATAGATAGGAACTTGACTATCCATGGATAATGATCTTCGAAGGAGACTTTTAACAAGTGGTCCGCTTCTGTCGATACTTTGGTTTTCAGGGCCAGATACCCTAGAAGGAACCACTAATCCTAACTTTGAATAGTACAACAAATTCCTGTCTTCTCTTAAACCAGCCCCCTTTCCTGTCTCTCTTAACAAAAATGTAGATTCTGATGAGTTACACAGAGATACAACTGGTGGACAAGGCCTTTTCAAGGGCACTTCAGTTATCTTTCCTTTTAGGAGCTGATTGCTTCCTCCAGATTCATCTGCTGCTGAATCCTTGTCTGGAAATGGTTTCTGTAATAAGACTGCATTTCTCTTAGTTCTGTTTTGATCGTCCACTGCACCTGAGGTTCCATGGGACTTTGAGTATCTTAAAGAACTGTCTTTCAACCATCTCCTTTCATTTAGTGATAAGCTTTGTAAAAACTCAGTTGGCTGAGTTAATTGTGGTATCTTACTTTTGACCACAACTGCGGACAAGGGTTTAGAATTATGACTTATGTCACATGGGATGTGACCAACATTTTCCTCTTGTGTTTCATTTTTGCTCTGACAAACTATGACACTTCTTTTCTGGGAGCTGCTTTCATCTTCCTCTTGGAAAAGTATTTTCTTAATGGGACATGCAGGTAAAGGAACTTGGGGGTTTCTAGAGACAATGTTTGTAAGAAAGGAAATCCCAAGACTGTAGCCCACTTCTTGCACACCTGCAAGGCTGCTTTTCTCAACAAACAATGATGAGGAGTAAATGTAGTTCAAAACATTGTCAAAAGTATCTGGTTCACAAAAGTCAAGCTGAAACACTGACTGAGACTCATTTTCTTTTTTTGTGAACAGAGTCTGAAAGTATTCACTGCTGGCAGCCAGAACATTTTTATGGGCTCGAAATTTTTGATCTCCTACTATAAGAACAACATCACAGAGTTGCCCTTTCAGACGTTCTTCATTTAAAGCACTCAGGAGAGAAATAGCATGTGCTGGGTTTATATAATGTAAGAGTCCCTCCATGATTTAGGTTTACCTAAAAGACATAAAAAGACAAAAGCATAATATAGTTTAAGTTCAGTTTAAAACAAAGAAGTAAAACTGCGTTTCTCCCCTTTTCCATTAATGTTGAAGTCTCCCCAAACATCAAGAAACAGAGATAATACTCTCACTGGTATCAAACTTGTGGCCCTCCAGATGGTTTAGACTTCAGCTCCCAGAATTCCTGGCCATTGGATAAGCTGGCTAGGGCTTTTGGGAGTTTGAGATCCAAACACCTGGAGGGCTACAAATTTGACACCTCTGCTCTATACAATATGCAATTGGTGCTAAGTAGATGTTTAACAGAAATATCATTTTTTTAAAAAATCAAACAGTCTATAAAGAAACTACCACAAAGGTCCAGCATATGAAGCACATAATGGTTCTATATATAAAATGGCTAATTTAATCAGTGGAGATTACTTTGTAATGTACAGAAGTAAATTTTGGGTTTGTTGTAGGTTTTTTCGGGCTATATGGCCATGTTCTAGAGGCATTCTCTCCTTTTTTTGGAAAAAAGAATGTGTGTCTTGTCTCTTCATCTATTGCCTTCAGCAAATTACATGCAAATGTTTACTGTCAGACTTGAAAACAACACTAATTCCTTAACAGAGATTAAGGGTAAAATCTTAAACATACTAAAAAAAATAAACTCTTATCAATAGAGTGGATTTTTTTCTGTATATATAAACAAGGGATTGATTTGGATTCAGATTACATTAGCCTCACCAGATTCCCAGGGAATTCTATGTGGAAAGTGACCTAATATGAATTAATTTCAATAAAAATGAAGTCCAATTAATTTACACAAATGGACAACACAGTATCTTTGGAGAAGTGAGCCTTTTAAATCTTAAATGTATATCCTAAGATAATTAATGTATATTTACTTTTAATTCAGTTTTCTGAAGGAACTGCACCTGAAGTTTGGCTCTTAATAATATTTAGAATCTACCTCTATATATACTTAATTAATAGTTAAATTTAGCTAGTACCCACTGTAAACATATACAGGATCAGGTACTAGGCTAGTGTTGACTCATGAGCTTAGAGTTAAATTAAAAACATGGATACTTTGAAACATATATATCTATCTATTTATCTATCTATCTTGTTAGTATGACAGAAAAAAGTAGAAAACATTTCACATCTTTCTTCTTTCATACTGCATAGTCACGCAACACTTAAGGTTGTTTGGACATTTCTTATTATGAACTTAAGTAGGTGGCTAAGGAAAATTTTACATCAAGAATTCCTGATTTGCAATTCTGTATTAGACTAAGGGTACATCTACACTGACCACTTAGTTCAGTTTGAAATCAGTATTGAAGAAGTGGTTTCATTATGCAGATGATTTCATAGGAAATCCTGGAACCAGTTTAATGCCCGGATTATGACTGCACAAACCAGAGCACCGATGCACATTAAGAGGTTTATTTCATGTATTTTTCTGGGTGTTTGTCACCTAGTCCCCACAGTTTGAACTTTGCCTTGAACTGCATTAAATGGTCACTTGTAATCCAGGTGGAGATGTATTAGCATTTTGGTACTCTGGAATATCTTCCAGCCAGCCACTTTCTGAACTTGCTTGTCTATCAGTTGGGATCCAAATATACATTTATAATATAATGTTAGGATTTATTGCTCTCCCAAGTTTTATCTAGGACCATAGTGCTGATTCAATACAATTTATCTCTCTAAGCATGTAGAATGTAATTGACACAATATAATAAACACAGAATATTTCTCTGCCTCTACATTTGGTTCTCAGGCCTTCTCTGAACACAATGCTTAACGTAATGAAAGTGTTACCCAAACATGCAGCAGCAAACCTTGCACCCACATAATTATTTCTCACTCCTCCTTTGGCACAGCTGTAAGGAAAATGAAATAATGGACTTCCTATTTAAAATAGCTCAGATGCAATGGGAAATTCTAGTTAAATTAAAACAGGAAAAGGATGCTTCCAATCTTCCTGTGGCTCTCAGCAGAGGAGCAGAGAGACATGGGCCCAAGGCTCACTACTGCTGATTCTTATAATGCTCAATAATGGTTTAGTATTATATTTGAAATAAGCCTTGGCTTTTTGCTCAAATACTGCTCATACAGAATGGTTCTCAGGAAGTAGAATCTCAAAACAGATTGTATTAAAAATAAATGAAACGTACCACAAAGCTTTCCTTTCCTCTTCTTAAATACACCCCAAAGCCACAGAAATCTTAGATTCAGGATCACACTTGCTCCTTAAATTTGGATTACCTTGGAGTCTGTACATCAGATAGGCTGGGAGAATGGAAAAAGTATACTTTAGCAATCATTAGTATACAAAGCAAAATTTCCCGCCTTTGTACTCAGTATTCATTTCCATCTCAAAATACTTATTGCTCCTGGTTTTCATTCTTTTCTACTTTTGAACTGAGAGTGTTTTAATTAAAAGATGTTCAAAATGTTCAAAACATTACTACAAAACCAATTAAGTAAAATAACTATAGATAGTTCAAAATTTAATCTGTGACAATACATACATTTGCTACAAAGCCTTTTTAAAAAGTGAACATATTTTAAAACAAGAGTGCTGCATTTCAGAATCTAATATCTCGTATTGCTTCTGAGTTTTGTCCAGAATTGCTGCCCTGCCTACCTTCTTTTTCTCTACATTTGTATGTTTTAACTTGCAAAGTGTTCCTCTGGACAGGATCCGTAAATATTCTAAATGGTTTATGCTTTTTATATTAATGGCATGCATCTCTTTTACTGACTGTTCAAGCTCCTAGTTGGGTTGGGGCCTCTCCTGGTTCACTTCAAGCAGCAAAAGGTCTTGGGCCACCCTGCTTGAATGTGTAAACCGACAACAAATGTGTCGTTATGGTTGCACTGAAAGTAAATTATGTCTGGTGTTGCTAAAATGCCTGCCTTCAGCAAATGACTCTCATGTTACAATAGCTTCACTGGCTAGTAGCTGCTTCCAGGCGCAGCTCATGGTATTGATCAGTGGTGGCTAGAGGTTTTCATAACAATGGAGCAGTGAAAATACTCTGTGTATTTGTCTTACTGTTAGAATAAGATGTTCAAGGTGCAGAACCCCATCCTAAAATAAACTCAGCACCTTGTATGATTCCTTTAAAGTTCAGAATAAAACTCAACAGAGTTTCACAATCAACTGAAGTAGAAGCTAACTAGATCCATGTTATTTGAAAGTCCATACTCCTCATATGAACATGCTTGGGTTTTATAAAGTTCAGAGGTTCTCTTTGACCCACTGTCACTAGGGGCATGTTTGATAGAAATGGGTCAGAGGGAGGAAAACCTTTTTATGTCTGCTCCTGAGCTCTGGAACTTCCTACTAATAAGCAAGGCCAAAATAGCTCCATTCTTTATGTGCTTCTATTGGCAGACCCAAATATTCAGAGAGGCGTTTAACCTTTGATTTGTTAGTTTGCTGGCGTACGCTTTAAGTGCTATTTTTTATTATTGATGTGTTTCAATCATTTTTCCTCTATGTTTTGATTATAATTTTGTCTTCTATCTTCTATTTCTTTGCTGTTAACCATCTTGAGAACCATTTATAGTGGGAAGGCAGTTACAAATTCAGTAAACAACTTAGACCTTAACTAACAAACTTTGCTAAAGAGCATTGTTATTTATTTATTTACTTATTATATTTTACCCCGAACTCTCATATCCCATAGGGAACTCAGAGCAGCTTCCAAATTGGCAACAATTTAATGCCATGCAAACAACAATCTGGTAATGGAACATAGGAATGGAACAATGGACGACGAATCTGGACTACGCTTGGATGATGAGAAGATTGGGTACGGTTGTTTTTTGTAATAATTGTGCATTGTAATTGCTTATTGGTAATTTATGGATAATGTGTTAAGTCAATTGTTATATGTTGTATGGAACCACTGCTGTTTCTACTGTTTCTACTGTTTGTGAACCGCTGTGAGTCGCCTTCGGGCTTGAGATACAGCGGTATATAAGCAAAGTAAATAAATAAATAAATAAATAAATAAATACCTTAAAAACCACAAAAGTTAAAAATCATAGCATTAATACATTAAAAATCACAAATTCAAAGTCACAATCCAGGAGCCATTCCAATCATGTTGCACTTATTTCCTACCCACTTACTGCACTAAATCACTCTCCAAAAGGCTTGGTCCCACAGCCAGGTTTTTAATTTCTTTCTAAAGGTCAGGAAGGAGGGGGCTGATCTGATTTCACTGGGGGAGTTCCACAGCCGAGGGGGTCACCACTGAAAAGCCTTGTCTCTTGTTCCCACCAACCACACCTGCAAAGGAGGTGGGACCAGAGAGCTGGGTCTCTCCAGAAGTGGGAGATATGTTCAGACAGGTAAGCTGGGCCAGAACCATTTAGGGCTGAAGCCAGTACTCTGAACTGTGCTCGGTAGCAGACTGGCAGCCAGTGGAGCTGGTGTAATGGGGGGGGGGGGGGGGGGGGGGGGTTGTGTGCTCCCTTTATTCCGCTCCAGTGAGGAATCTGGCTGCCGCCGTTGGACTACTTTTTGAATAGATTTTACAGTAAGATGTCAAAGATCATGGATATGATCTATTACTATTACCCTTGCCACTTTAAACCCGCATTATAGGTGTCACCTTAGTAGTACTTACATCCTCCTACAAGTTGAGTATCCCCTATCTGAAATACTTGGGGGCAGAAGTATTTAAGATTTCAGATTCTAGAATACCTATATTTGCATATATTTACATAATAAAATATCCTGGAGTTGGGACCCAAATAAACACAAATTCATTTATGCCTCATATACACATAGCACACAAGAATACACATATACACACAAGAGTGGCCATCAGACTGGAAAAAATCAACTTATATCCCCATACCAAAAAAGGGAAATGCGAAAGACTGCTCAAACTTCTGTACAGTGGCCCTTATTTCTCATGCCAGTAAGGCAATGCTCAAGATCCTGCAAGGAAGACTCCAGCAATACATGGAGCGAGAGTTGCCACATGTACAAGCTGGGTTTAGAAAAGGCAGAGGAACAAGAGACCAAATTGCCAATATCCACTGGATAATGGAGAAAGGCAAGGAGTTTCAGAAAAACATATATTTCTGTTTTATTGACTATTCTAAAGCCTTTGACTGTGTGGATCATAATAAATTGTGGCAAGTTCTTGGTGGTATGGGCATACCAAATCACCTTATCTCTATCCTGAGAAATCTGTAAAAGGACCAAGTAGCAACAGTAAGAACTGACCACAGAACAACAGACTGGTTTAAGATTGGGAAAGGCGTACGGCAGGGTTGTATACTCTCCCCCAACCTATTCAACTTGTATGCAGAACACATCATGTGATGTGCAGGGCTTGAGGAATGCAAGGCTGGGGTGAAAATTGCTGGAAGAAACATTAACAACCTTAGATATGCTGAGGACACCACTTTGATGGCCGAAAGCGAGGAGGAGCTGAGGAGCCTTCTAATCAAGATGAAAGAAGAAAGCGCAAAAGCTGGGTTGCAGCTTAACATCAAAGAAACCAAGATTATGGCAACAAGAATGATTGACAACTGGGAAATAGAGGGAGAAAACGTGGAGGCAGTGACAGACTTTGTATTTCTAGGTGCAAAGATTACTACAAACGCAGACTGCAGCCAGGAAATCAGGAGATGCATACTTCTTGGGAGGAGAGCAATGACCAATCTTGATAAAATAGTGAAGAGTAGAGACACCACACTGGCAACAAAGATCCGCATAGTAAAAGCAAGAGAAGTATGAGAATTTGCCATCTGCAAGGACGTTGCCCAGGGGACGCCCAGATGTTTTGATGTTTTACCATCCTTATGGGCTGCTCCTCCAACAGTTTGAGGGACTGTGACCTGGCCCTCTGTTTAAAAAGTCTTTTACAGTTTAGGTACAAGCTATGTGAAGGACAGTATTCTCCCTTATGAACCAGCCCATGCTTGAGATCTAGTGGAGAGGCCTTTCCCTCTCCCTGTGAAATTTCATTTCAAGGATTTTGTAAGTCAGAAGCATCTTGAAGGCAAACATTAACTCAAACCTTTGTTTTGAATAGCAAAGACCCTGAGAACATGGGTAGGTCTCTGTGACTTACTTTCTACAGTTCCTACAGTTCATCATTTCACAGGCTATTATAATCTCAAGACAACTTTAATTTATTTGTGATCTCAAATAGTAGGTCCAATCCATGTACAACAGTCCTGTGGTAGAAGGACTGTTGTACAGAAGAGTTTGCATATACATAGTTGCACGCAAGGTTAAACACTAGAATACAAATTTTCACGAGACTGAATGAAATGAGATTTAATGATACCCTCTGGTGTTATTTTAAACAAACAATTAACATTTTCCAGCTTTATTGAGAACACATTATAGCTTGTATTTGTGAAGTAAAGTGTTGGACTACAGATGGCAGAGGGACAGTATATCACTAGCCAACACACATTTTGGTGCCTCAAATGTTAATCTGTTTTTGGGTAGAACTGGCCTGTTGATTAAAAAAAAACACCAGGTTCTACATATCAACTCTAATGTTTGAGATATAGAACATAAGCCATGTACCACTTGCCATCTGCTTCCCAATGAAAACCGTAACTATATCCAAGAAAGAGCTGTGTCAGTGAGAGGAGCTACACCACTGCTGAGAAAATGGTTGTGAATGATTAGGGTCCTTACACACTGCCCCTTTATCCCAGGATGTGATCTCAGCATATTTGTTTATCCCAGGTTATCTGGCAGTGGGGACTCACATATTTGTTTAAAGCAGATAATCTGGGGTCCGATACTGGGATAAAGGGGCAATGTGGAAGGGCCCTAGGTAGATTGAAAATGGGCTCAGAGGCCATCCCACCTATGACCCAAGGTCTCCTCCATTCTGCCTAATTTAATATGCCCTAACTTGATAGATGGGCATTATAACTTTTGAAAAGTTCCCATATTTGAATAGCAAGCCTCAACTGTCATGTCATATTTATTTGCTTTTGATTAAACCAAGAATGAAGCAAAAGCCATATGATTTATTGCAAACTTTACTTAAAAGTTTGCAATAAACCATATGGCTTTTGCTTCATATCTCCTCCTATGAAGCATCTAGGAACTTAAGATCATCTGGGGAGGCCCTGCTCTCGATCTCGCCTGCCTCGCAAGTGCGATTGGCAGAGATAAAAGACAGGGCCTTCTCAGTGGTGGCCTCCTGGCTTTGGAACTCCCTCCCCCGGGAAATTAGATCAGCCCCCTTCCTCCAGACTTTCCAAAAAAGCTTTTGAGAATGCAGCGGAATAGATAACACAGAACTATTAATGATGAACATGGAATGGCTAGACGATGTTACTGGATAACGTTTTTAACAAGATGACACCGATGATTATATGCTTTGCAGTTTTTATATTTTATATTGTAATGTTGATTGTTTTTAATGGCACTTTTATGAATGCCTGACATTGAATTGTGCCAATCTGTAACCCGCCTTGAGTCGCCGTATGGCTGAGAAAGGCAGGCTATAAATATTGTAAATAAATAAATTTGCTATTTTCCAAGAACTGATGGACTACAACTCCCAGAATTCTTCACCCTTCTGGAAAGTCCTTTTATATCACATCCTCAAACCTCCACAAAACTAAAACCCAGAACTTCAATCAATGGCTGATGCCAAATGAGAGACTCCCCCCTGGGCACACAGAGAACTGGGTGACTTGGAAGGCGCGGAACAGACTGCGCTCTGGCACCATGAGATGCAGAGCCAACCTTAAGAAATGGGGCTACAAAGTGGAATCCACAACAAGCGAGTGTGGAAAAGAGCAAACCACAGACCACTTACTGCAATGCAACCTAAGCCCTGCTACATGCACAACGGAGGACCTTCTTATAGCAACACCAGAGGCACTCCAAGTGGTCAGCTACTAGTCGAAGGACATTTAATCAACTACCAAGTTTGAAAACTTTGTGTTTTGTTTGTTTGCTTGTTTTTAATGCAATACAACTGTTTAGTTCGCTCCTGGCACGATAAATAAATACCTCCACAATCAGTTCCAAACTCTGACTCATTCGATGGTGAAAAGAACATAGAACAATCAAGAGAGTTACACAGTAAACATCTTTTTCCTTTTGCAAAAAAAAAAAAAAAGCAGGGGAAAAAGAGCAACATTCCCCCCATCCCATCTGCCTGGTCAAAATGACATCATAAGGCCCAACAGCCCACCACACCCATTGTCCCGCGCATGCTCAGGAAACCCTCTCTTCCCCCCAGTCAAACTATCCCGAGTTTGTCGCGTGCGCAAGTAGTCCCTGTATCTTTGGGCACCACGCATGCGCACGAAGGAAAAGCCACCACGAGCGAGGAAAGGGCAACGGGCATGCGCAGTAGAGCGCTAGTGGACGGGGGCGGCTTTGGTATTCCACGATACAGGCGCCGCTCCTGTGATCGACGCATGCGCCGTGGAAGGGTGGGAGCCCGTTTTGTAACCGGCGCAGGCGCACAAGGCGCCTCGGGACCGCAGCCCTACTCAAGTGCCTGTATGTGTGGGGGGGAGGGAGAGAAATAGACCTCAGCGTTACGTCAGGAAAGGACGCCTTTGTGCAGGGGAAATCCCGCGCCTTTCGTCCAGCAGGGGAGCCTCCTTCAACGCGCAGCCCGTCGGGACCCGTTACTCACCGATTCCGCCGCAGGACGGGCACCCCCCCTCTGGCCTCACCCTCCCTTTACGGGGCCGCCGCGCGCGCCGCCGCCACCGCCGTGATTCCATCCATCTTGAATTTGACGTCATCCCACACCAAGGGATGAGGTCATCGCAGCCAGCGCTCGTCACGTGCGCCTCTTCCCCATTGGTTGGCGCCAGGCACCCTGCTCGGGATGGGGGGGGGCAGGGGGAGCGGGGACGCGCGCGCGAGGCCGGCAGTCAATCAAAGAGGCCATTGGCGGACGGGTTTACTTTAGTCCAGGCCTGGGCGAACTTGGGCCCTCCATGTGTTTGGGCCTTCCACTCCCACCATTCCTCGCAGCCTCAGGCCCTTTCCTTTTCCCCCTCAGCCGCTTAAGCGGCTGAGGGGGAAAAGGAAAGGGCCTGAGGCTGCGAGGAATGGTGGGAGTGGAAGGCCCAAGCATATGGAGGGCCCAAGTTCGCCCAGGCCTGGTCTAGCATAACCTATGCAGTTTCCCCGTGCCTGCATTAGCCTCTCAGCCCTGGCTCCACTCTCCCCGGATGGGCTGAGGATTGCCATGGCCGTCAAAGCAGATTGATAGCGCTATAACCTTTTCTACCACCAGTTGAAGAGGAATCCTAGCATCATCGTCATCATACCAATAGGAGCCCCTGGTTAAACCCTTGTGCCGGCAGGACTGAAGACTGACAGGTTGGAGGTTCAATTCTGTCACCTCCAGCTCCCCATGCGGGGACATGAGAGAAGCCTCCCACAAGGATGGTAAAACATCAAAACGTCCAGGCATCCTCTTGGCAAAGTCCTTGTAGACAGCCAATTCTCTCACACCAGAAGTGACTTGCAGTTTCTCAAGTTGCTTCTCACACACACACACAAAATCATACTAATAATAATACATTTTATTTAGTGCCTGCCTCCCCTGGTGGCTCGGGGCAGGGGTTACAACAAATTTTAAAAATAAATGGAACATAAAATACATACATTTATTTATTAGAAACATTGATATATTCTCACCCCCGAAGAGTGAGAATCAGGGGTGAGAATATATCAGTGTTTCAAATATATCAATGTTTCAAATTCTCGCCCCCAAAGGGGGAGCCCCCGGTGGCTCAGTGGGTTAAACCCCTGTGCCGGCAGGACTGAAGACTGACAGGTCACAGGTTCGAATCCGGGGAGAGGCGGATGAGCTCCCTCTATCAACTCCAGCTCCTCATGCAGGGACATGAGAGAAGCCTCCCACAAGGATGGTAAAACATCAAATATCTGGGTGTCCCCTGGGCAACGTCCTTGCAGACGGCCAATTCTCTCACACCAGAAGTGACTTGCAGTCTCCCACCATTCCCAACAGCCCCAGGCCCTTTCCCTTTTCCCCCTCGCCGCTTAATCGGCTAGGGTGAAAAGAATGGCCTGAGGCTGCGAGGATGGTGTGAGTGGACGCCCAAGCATATGAGGGCCCAAGTTCTACCAGCTTGGTGTGCCAAGTTCTCTTGAGTTGTTTTTCATTATTCACATTTAATTTTGTTAAAACTCAGGAAGCTTAGAGACTAAAATGTCCATTTTATTTGGGTAAATAAAGAGCATGCTACTTTGTAAAACAAAGTCTTATCTGACTAATAGGAGCCCCCGGTGGTGCAGTGGGCAAAACCCCTGTGCCCGCAGGACTGAAGACTGACAGGTCGCAGGTTCAAATCCGGGGAGAGGCAGGGATGAACTCCCTCTATCAGCTCCAGCTCCTCATGCGGGGACATGAGAGAATCATCCCACAAGGATTGTAAAAACATCAAAACGTCCGAGTGTCCCCTGGGCAACGTCCTTGCAGACGGACAATTCTCTCACACCAGAAGCGACTTGCAGTTTCTCAAGATGCTCCTGACACGACAAAAAATGTAAAACTATATTTTTTAGTGCCTGCCTCCCCTGGTGGCTCGGGGCAGGGGTTACAACAAATTTAAAAATAAATGGAACATAAAATACATACATTTATTTATTAGAAACATTGATATATTCTCACCCCCGAAGAGTGAGAATCAGGGGTGAGAATATATCAGTGTTTCAAATATATCAATGTTTCAAATTCTCGCCCCCAAAGGGGGAGCCCCCGGTGGCTCAGTGGGTTAAACCCCTGTGCCGGCAGGACTGAAGACCGACAGGTCGCAGGTTTGAATCCGGGGAGAGGCGGATGAGCTCCCTCTATCAGCTCCAGCTCCTCATGCAGGGACATGAGAGAAGCCTCCCACAAGGATGATAAAACATCAAATCATCTGGGTGTCCCCTGGGCAACGTCCTTCCAGATGGCCAATTCTCTCACACCAGAAGTGACTTGCAGTTTCTCAAGTCATTCCTGACACGACAAAAAAAAAAAAAAATACCCGAAGGGGACTCAGGGCAGAGCACAAGATATATACTGCAAGCATTCCATGCCGGAACATAAAATAACTATAAATATACATAATAATAATAATATAATAATAATAATAATAATAAACTTTATACCCCGCCAGCATCTCCCTGATGGGGACTCTGAGTGGCTTACATGAGACCAAGCCCAAATGACAATTACAATAAAGAAAAACCAAAAACACAAACTTAAAACGCAAACAATAAACAATAACATCATAGTTACATAAAACATATGAATTTTGTTGTTCATTCGTTCAGTCATTTCCGACTCTTCGTGACCTCATGGACCAGCCTATGACATAGCTCCCTGTCGGCCATCACCACCCCCAGCTCCTTCAAGGTCAATCCAGTCATTTCAAGGATGCCATCCATCCATCCATCTTGCCCTTGGTCGGCCCCTCTTCCTTTTTCCTTCCACTTTCCCCAGCATAATTGTCTTCTCTAGGCTTTGCTGTCTCCTCATGATGTGGCCAAAGTACTTCAACTTTGTCTCTAGTATCCTTCCCTCCAATGAGCAGTCAGGCTTTATTTCCTGAAGTATGGACTGGTTGGATCTTCTCGCAGTCCAAGGCACTCTCAGAACTTTCCTCCAACACCACAGTTCAAAAGCATCTATCTTCTTCACTCAGCCTTCCCTAAGGTCCAGCTCTCACATCCGTAGGTTACTACAGGGAATACCATGGCTTTGACTAGGCGGATCTTTGTTGCCAGGGTGATGTCTCTACTCTTTACTATTTTATCGAGACTGGACATTGCTCTCCTCCCAAGAAGTAAGCGTCTTCTGATTTCCTGGCCACAGTCTGCATCTGCAGTAATCTTTGCACCTAGAAACACAAAGTCTGTCACGGCCTCCACATTTTCTCCCTCTATTTTCCAGTTGCCAATCATTCTTGTTGCCATAATCTTGGTTTTTTTGATGTTTCGCTGTAATCCAGCTTTTGCGCTTTCTTCTTTCACCTTGATTAGAAGGCTCCTCAGCTCCTCCTCGCTTTCGGCCATCAGAGTGGTGTCATCTGCATATCTGAGGTTGTTAATGTTTCTTCCAGCAATTTTCACCCCAGCTTTGCATTCATCCAGCCCCGCACATCGCATGATGTGTTCTGCATACAAGTTAAAAAGGTTGGGTGAGAGGATGCAGCCTTGCCGTACGCCTTTCCCAATCTTTAACCAGTCTGTTGTTCCGTGGTCAGTTCTGACTGTTGCTACTTGGTCCTTGTACAGATTCCTCAGGAGAGAGACAAGGTGGCTTGGTATGCCCGTCCCACCAAGAACTTGCCACAATTTATTATGATCCACACAGTCAAAGGCTTTAGAATAGTCAATGAAGCAGAAATAGATGAATACATAACAATAAAAATTACAATATGCACGGGCACAGTAATAATGGGCGGGCTACATGTAGTGATTAAAAAGACAGACTGATTAAAACTAATTAAAAACTCGAGTGAGACAAAAGAGGGAAGCAGGTAATTTATGGAGGAGGGCTCATTTTAGGGGAGCATTAAAAATATTTATTTCAAGCATTTGTGCCACGTCCTTCTCACCCCCGAGGGGTGGTAGCTTTACAACAGGCAGCCATTGATGCTGAACATCAATTAAACAATCATAATTACAACAAGAATTAGTAACAAACATTCAAAATTTAAAATTCTGTCAGTTTAAAATTATGATCCAAGATCAGTCTATTGATGGTTGCATAGGTCATTATCATTCAGATCACTGTAGCTATTGCTCAAAAGCCAGGTTTTAAGTTTTTTTTTACGAAAGGCCAGGATGGAGGGGCAGATCTGATATCTTTGGGAGGGAGTTCCACAGCCAAGGAGCCACTACTGAGAAGGCCCTGTATAAAGTCAGTTATATCTACTTTAAAATCAGTTGTTTAAACCATCTCTTAGATCAACACACACACACATGAAAACCTAAACCAAACATAGATTGGGAGCCAGGAAGACACAGTTCCACCATGTCTCCTGGGTCATCAGTTGGGACCACCTCCCCACAGCAACAATATAGTAATATATAATACTAATATTGTGCTAGGCTAATAATATAATACGTTGTATGTACATATATTGATCATAATTTGTAATACAATAGAGTACTAATAATACTACTATACAATACAATACTATAATTATATATTATATAATTATATATTATATATTACATGTAATATTGCAATATAGTGGTATAGTACAATATAGTAATATATCAAGTGCTCCTGACATGACAAAAAAAAATTAAAAATCATGACAATGTGTGAATTTAAACCTAAATAGATTAAAATAAAAATAGAATTAAATATAGGGGTATTAAAACACAGTTATTAAAACCATTAAAATCTATTAAATGACACAAAACAAAACATAATTATAAACCCTAGTTCCTCGGGGACTACCCAGTCAACTTTAACTTGGGGATTTTAACCTGCATTTTAACCTTGCTTTTAAACAATTGTAGTACGCCTCGAGTTGCAAGGAGAGGCGGGTAACAAACAAATGTTGTTATTTAAATACAAAATGAAGTGACAATGCTATACATACAAAATACAAAGAAATGGGAAAAGATTTCTCAAGTTGGAATTGTTTCTCTTATTGTGTGCCTTCAGGACACTTCTGACTAGTCATGAACCTATCATGGGGTTTTCTTGGCAAGATTGGTTCAGAACTATCTTGCCTTTGCATTCTTCCGAGGCTGAGAAAGTGTGACTTCTGAAGGTTTTTTTTTCTTCAAACTGACCTTGAAACATGATTACTGACAGTCAAATTCAAACTTGTAAGTGCCAAACACAGCAGTTCTGCTTCATCCCGCCCATTCAGATGTGTTGGGTCTGGTTGCTGATTCACCACTTTAATTAGCAGTATCCATGGCTGAGCTGAATCAAATCATTATTTAGAAACACAGAAAGAACAAAGGATATTAATAGCATGATCAAGCACAAACTGCAGCCTATTTATTAGATCTTCCGAGGTGATTTCTTCCTTGTACACCCACATGATGAATATATAACTGTTCTAAACATGAGTGTCAGTTTTCTGTTTAAGCCTCTTAATACCACAAGTTGTTGCTGTTGTTGTTTTTCACAAAAGGCAAATATAAACTAGGAGTCAATGGACTTTCTGTGTCTTTATATTAATTTGTCACAATTTCACTATATATTGTGTTATTGTGACCACTTTTTATGTAATATGCTTTTCCTGAAAACAGAAGCCTGGAAAGAGTAAACAAGTTAATTAGGTGCAATGGGAATAGAATGAGCTTGTTAAATGCAGACTCTACAGTAGAATGAGCACAAGATTCAAAAGTCAGATTGATCAGATATAGGGTAACTTTTTTGCATTTTTTTATTGTGTAAACGTGGTATACAGAATGTAAGGGGGGGGGGAGAAATACATCAGATACACATAAGACAAATACATTTGTCAACCACCCCTTCCACACAGCTTTATAAAATCCACTCTGAACTGGATTATATGGCTCTATGGACTCAGATAACTCAGTTCAAAGCAGATATTGTGGATTATCTGTCTTGATATTCTGGGTTATATGGCTGTGTGGAAGGACCCTACCAAACCCACCCCTCCCCACACCCATGAACCACCACCCATGATTCCAACACCACTCCATGTGAAACTTGTTGGAGCATGCAAGGAATCAGTGAGGTGTGTATCAACTGTTAAATAAGAAGTATGAAGCTGATTGGTCGGGCAATGCCTGGGGAGAAGGCTGAGCCTGTGACTTTTAGATACTGTTACATTTTTGTTCAGGCTTGAGCTGTGCAAGTGCAGAGACAGACTATTTGAAGAGAGAAGCAGAGAGACAGTTTGGAGTTCTTGCTTCATGAGCTGCTGGAAGAAGATCTCCTACTTGAACACCTAAATACCATTTAAATCTCTCTCAAAAGACATTGTGTGAGTCAATGCAACTGTTCATGTGATTGTATATATGTTACTCTGCATTACAAAGAGTAAACTTCTTGTTCTTTACTGATCATCTACATGGCATATTTTCTTTCTCTGGCAAGACAGTGTGTGGACTGATTAAAGCGTGAAGTACGCGTGATTTTCATTCTGTCACAAAACTAGTATCTCATAAAAACCTACCCTTATCTTTAAATTAATAACTTCCCCTTGTGGATATTTTGAAGTTTACCATTGTCTTCCTTTCTAAATATTCAAATGCAAGCTTTCATTTTCTAACAACGTCTCCATTATTTTCTGCTGTAATGTCATTGGACAGCTTGGCCATTTGAATATAGTCTAATAATTTCCCTCTCCAGTTCTTTATAAACAACTTCCCCCCTACTTTCCATGATTTTGCTATTATTAATCTTGCAGCAACAAAACTGTATTGACAAATTTCTATGTCTTCTTTACTGATTTTTTTTCACCAAATAAACCTAAGAGGCACATTTCTGGGTAACACCTTATCCAGTGTCACCCAAAATAAACACATTCACTGAAGAAGAGGACACTGATTTGCCTAAAAATTGATATGTGCTAATAATCGTAGAAAATACAAACAGTAAAGATTTATTGAGTAAGGGGGTTGGAGTGGAATGGCCCCCGTGGTCACCTCCAATTCTATTATTCTAGGAAATAAAATAAACATCTAATCTCATGCTGGTTCTGCTCACAATAGGCATTATCATCCCATTTTGAAACAAAACAGCATCTCTCTCTCTCTCTCTCTCTCTCTCTCTCCATATTTCCAGCAACCAAAAACTATATTCAGTTCTCCTTCCTTCCCTCTTTCTAAGCAGTCATCTTACAGGGCAAATCTACACTGCAGTCTTAATGTAGCTTGACTTCATTTTTATTCAACACTATGATGAGAAATGATAGCAAAACACTTTCCTAACATATCAAGTAGTGAGAGGGATGTGATTTTAAATGTGTTTTTCTAATGACTATAAGTCATCAGATGTCCTGATTTTCAAAGAGGTCTTGCTTGCCAGAAACTGCTGGTGCTTAGAGAAAGCTGTCACAGAAAAGTGATTGTTCTCTTTTGCTCGCTGTGTGCTTAAGGATACAAGCTGTAAGTTAATAATGCACACACTCCCTAATTTCTCACAAGCAAGTAGAGAAGCAACATGCAACCAGATAAGCTGATCTGTGGCTCCATAGCTCAGAGTCAGAGACAAATGAACAGTACCATTGTTAGATGCTTCTGCTGTTAGATAGAAGATTATAGATAGAAGAGCCAATGAGAATTTATATTAGCTAGCTAAGACCAATGAGGTGGTGATTTTTGATTGCCAATGAAACTGTGCCTTTAACTTTCTGTGAAAGTGATAAAAATGAATGTAATCAAACTCTAGGTGCAGCAAAACCCTTTAGATTGCATTGTATATGCATTTTTGCCGTCTTACTTTGGCCACACAATAAACAGCTTTTTGCAATTTGAAAATCCAACTTTCGTAGTGTCCTTCCTCACCCTCTACACTGGAAGGGGGCTCCTGTTTCAGATTTGGATTTTAGACGTATTTTTGAATCTTTGCCTTTCAGTAGGACTAACGTGATATTTAAATTTATTCATTTATTTATTATGCAGCACCATAAATCACTGTACATGGTGCTTTATAAGAAAAAAACAACAATTCCCTGCTCTCAGGCTAACAATCAAAAGACATGACATTTATATAAGCATAGTCTAAACAATTCCTTTGATTCAGTGTGTATAATAAATAAGATTAAGGGTTGTGGGATAAAAGATGAGTAAAATTTTAATATTATTTAAAAATTAAAATGTGTGAGACAGACCTCCAATATTCTATCAGGAGGGGTGGAGGGGGGGGGGTGCCTGAAAGGAAGTGAAGATGTAGAATTACACGGTCTGAAAAAATATATGAACTATATGAAATAATACAAATGGCTGTTGAAAAAAAAAATGGTTGGCAAGTTTATTTTGAGTCCTCTACTGAAAGTCTCTTTTGCTTGTTTCCATGTCCCTGTGAAAGGTTCTCTGTAGTAACCACACCAATTAAAAATTCCCTAGGCATATGAAAACTCTTCTTCAAGGTTCTGTAGCTGAAAAGATTGTGTAACTATTAGTATAATAGCTTACTAATATTATAGGTTTCCTTTATGTTTTTTAAATAACATTCTACAAGGCAGAATTTGAGCATGTATTTAAAACCCGGGAAAATAGCTCTTGTTATTTTTCCTGGGCACACAACAATATTAAAATAATAGAGGGCTAATAGGTCTATGTTAGGCTTACAAGTATGATATCTCTGTCCATAATAGGAATCCCATGCTCTCCCATATCAGTATTGTTCCCAGGCAATTATATCCAACACAAATCATGTTTGAAAGCTGCTCTGTTAAAACTTACAGAGAAGTAGCTATGTGAATGTGTAGTGGTGATATAGTGGTTTAAACATTGCTGATGTAGTGGTTTAAACATTGGATTAGTTTCACGATGGGTTTCCATGTCTGAATAGGGTTTGAATCCCAATTCAGCATGGAAACTCGCTGCAAAACTACAGAATTATAGCAGTTTGACACCACTTTACCGGCCTCCCTATGGAATCCTGGGATTTGTAGTTTGGTGTAGAACCCAGAGCTCACTGACAGAGATGGATAAATATCTTGCGAAACTATAAATCCCAGTTAATGTGGTTTCAAACTGCAATACTTCTGCAGTCTGGATAAAGACTGGATGACTGCAATCTGGATAAAGACTGCAAGTCATACTCTTTTAACAGAAGGCAGGGGGAAACCTGATCTGAAGAAATCTAATAAAGAAAACCATGTTTGCCACAAGACAACAAAAAATCTTGTACACAGGCAAACTACAGTACAATAATGTCTTAAGACATGAGTTTGCAGTCACAGGTCAGCCTTTTGTACACTGTCCTTTCCTCCTGGGATTCTAATCCCGCTTTCCATGTTCTCCAGATGACCATTCCCTCTTCACCATGACAGTATTGTGTTTGAAATTTGGTAAGCCCACTGCTTTTAAAATACGTCTCTTGAGTCTAGTTATTGTTGGAGTAGATTAGAGTTTTCATCAAAATATCCTGGCATTTCTGGTCTCTCTCCCCCCCCCCCCCCTTTCCTCTGTCTCCAGTTACCAATTTCTCCAAAACTGAATTTCCTCCTCACAGTGAAAGTGGTTCTCCACCTTTGTTTTAAGACTTGAATTATGATGGCAGTTCAACTGCATACTACTTTCATCCTCTCCTTGCTTTACTTCTCTTGGAAAGGATGATCTCCTTCCATTGAGCAAGATCTATACTTCTTCTCCCCAAGTTTGCATCCCATCTCTTCCAAGTGGTTTACAGCTAACTCTAACCCACTCAGCCTATCTTCTTTCACTTTTCCCCCACTCATGCTAACCTTATCGAATCGTTTTTCTTTAGTCCAGTTGGCTTCTTTTAAACTTGATTGCAAGTAAATGTGCTTTAATCAGCATGTTGTTCTGTAAATAACGATGTCAGGTTGTTGTGGACCAGGATCAGTAATTGAGATGCTGGCAATCCATGGGGGAAAGCATTAATGAAGCCACTCAGGCAAGTTAGTGACAAGATTCTCACATTGTTCTGTGACTAGGTGTGTACGAAACAGAAACACAGGAAATATTTGGCTTTGTTTTCTAAAATTTGGATGTAATACCAACAGCTGGACAGAGCCAATACAAACATGATGAAAAGCTCCTTGAGATCAGTTATTAGGATCCTCGTTGCTTCTGTTTCCATCTTGTATATTGTGACAGGGCTTGAAATAAGCAACACCTTTACAGGTGAGTAACAATACACCCTATCAGGTCTGTATTAGTGTAATTATGGAAAACATAGCTATCCTTTTTGGAAAGAAACATCTAGTCATGCCTTGGAGACAATTTACTTTCAGAGCAAGATTTCCTATTTTCTACCCCACCGGCAATTATAGATTCAGGATTCTGAAAACTGCCAGCGATCTCTAGCTATCCAATTGTTTGTGATGAGAGAGACAACTTTATTTTATCAAAGCTCTATAAAAGAGAAGTGGAGCAAACAGCCCCAATGACTGCAATGCAATCCTATGCACTCTTCCTTGGGAGTAAGCTTCACTGGACTCAGTAGGACCTGCTTCTGAGCAGGCTTTGTAAGGTATAAGGGAAGGGCTCTGTTTTATTAGGAGTAAGTGCTGTGTGTCATAACTATAAGGCTTTGTACTGCTTCTAACTCTGGAATCTCTGGAATCCTGTGATCCCATTCTTAGCAGAGGGAAATAAGCTTAACCAGCATGAACAGCTAAAGCAGCTCTGGAGAAGATGTCAGGGAGAGAATATTGCTAAAGGGAGAAAAGAATATGTTGCATAGCACATATATCTGTGTTCTGCACACATGCTTTATGGGTCAGGAAAATGCAAATTTCTAGAATATGGTGACCCATTGAATTATCATAGTATTACCACCAGTAATGGGCAGGAACAGTATGTGAGTCATCTGTCCTCCCTATGTGCAGAAAGGTTATTTTAGCACTGGCTTATTTCTTCCTCATTAGAACTGACCCTACTGTTAGGAAGATCGATAAAGACAATTTCAAGCCCCAGTTCTGGATTAGCTGTGTAAATAATTAATTCTGGATTACATGAAAGTGCAGTGAATTGTGTTTTAAGGATCTTAGTACAATTGTTTTTATGGATAAACTCAGTGGCCTGAGTCCCGGGGAATTTTTTAATAGTATATGTCGTATTTATTAAGTTTGTTGTATATGGTTTATGTAATGTGCAATTTGTTTATCTGATTATTTGGTTTATGATTCTGTGCTGATTTTTGTGTTATGAAATTTCTGCGGTTTTTAACCATTGTATGCTGCTTCGAATGCTTCAAATCCCACCCATGGGAGAAAAGTGGAATAAAAATAAATACATAAATAATAATAATTATTATTTCCCAGAACTTGGAAAATTTACCACTGTGGACTCTGGCCTCCATGATCCCCATGTTAATATGGTTAGCAGCTGTGATGTGGGGATGGCACTTTTTAAAAAGTAGTTTTTCAAGTTCTGTATTTACAATGTTATATCTTTTTTTTTTTTTGGCTTGTCCAAATTTCTGCATAGGCATTTAAATAATCTGACTGGCTTCAGATACTATCTATTTCAAGTGGGTGTAGGGGATGACACGTAAGCATAATTTTGTGTATAATTTCTGAATAATTTGAAGCACAGGCATTTAAAAGTGTCTGTCAGAGGGTTACCCTTGTATTTTCCAACTTTATGAATCTATACAAGCTGAAAATTGTAGATAATCACAATATTCCTGAATTCTAATCTTTAGTTCCATCCCCTAAAATGGTAGACACCTGAAAGCCCAGAAGGTTGTGGAATAAATACAGCTTGGTTAACATAACATGAGCATTACATATTATGTAGCTTGTCTAACCTTCTCCCCCAACTACAGTTTGCCATTGATTAAAAGTGACACATAAACCACAGCCACCATTTACTGTTGAAGAAAGCTGCCTTATTTGATTGTTCCTGATTTATCACAGCGTAAAAGGCGAAGGAAATGTCAAGCCTGGAGAATGTTTTCCACAGAGATACTGCAGTCACCTTTAAATATCAGATTTTATAGAGAATAAGGGGCAACCAAAAATAGACTTGGGAAATAGAAGGATAAAATGTGGAAAAATATATTAGCTGAAAGATCTATTTTTGAATTAAGTTGAAAGGACATTTCTGTTGCGAACCTCTCCTAAGATAGTTGCACTTTTGGGTCCCTATATACTGGCTGTAAATGCTTTCTTATATTTGAGAACACATAAGGGAGCTATTTTAGATTGTAATTTATTTTTATTCCACATTTCTCTTAAGATGAGACATGTTTTAAAACTAAAATGAGGTGGAAGTCCACAAGAAATGTTAGCAGCTCTCCAATAAATGTCAGCAGTCCTCCAGTACATCTGTCAGATTTACATTGACAATAATATTCTTACTTTCAGATCTCACTTCACACATCACATTCCTATTTTTTGGTTGGCTGCCATTGTATATATATAACTGATATGTGTGTGTATAAGTGTGTGTGTGTGTGTATAGTATATATGTGTATATATATATATAGAGAGAGAGAGAGAGAGAGGGAGAGAGAGAGAGGGAGAGGGAGAGGTAAAGGTAAAAGGTTTTCCCCTGACATTAAGTCCAGTCGTGTCTGACTCTGGGGCTTGGCGCTCAGGGCGGCTTATGTAAGGACCAAGCCCAACATAGGCAAAATTACTAAGTAAATGCAATCAAAAACATATAACAGATAAACAACACAATTAAAAAATTCAACCCCATAAAAATACATCAACCGACATCAGCAACCAAAACTAGTACAAGTGTGGCCAAGCAAAAAACTATGATTAATATAGATAATTTTATTAATAAAGAAGAACACAGAAGCAAGGTAAGGCTACAACAGTTTGTTTTTGTTTGAACTTAGTGGGAAGGGCAAAAGAGGGTCGACAGAGCTGATAAATCAGGACTATCCCGGCCAAATCAGGGCAGTTGGAGTGTACTCATGTTGCTTCTCAGACCAGTTGTGAACCCCACCCTCACCCCCATCTCAGGACACAATGTTTGCTTCCTTTTTATTAAGACAGCAGAACTGTCTTTGGGAAGCTGGAAACGTTTCAAAAGGACACACAGCCCATTGTCTAACACTGTTCCAGTTTCCACAATAGTCTGACTTTCACAGTGGAAGGAAGGGACAGAAAATGAATGGAAACATTGGAGTCTTGACCTTACATCATGTTCATCTTTCCATGTTTTGTTGGCTGATGGGGAAGCATAATTTTTTAACTCCAAAACTGAGTCCCTGTAGTCTTCTGTTTGACCTTTTCTGTACAATAGGCACTTCCAGGGGTGAGTGGGAATCCAAAAGTTTCTTTCCTTTGAGTCTCCCCCTCTTAGATTAACTACCAGGTTGCTTTGAATTCCAGAATTCTTTAGCAAATGCTCTTGATGCTGGGACAGTGATAGTAGAAAGGAATCAAATGAAAATTCAATTGAATCAGAAGAATCAGTATTTTTTTTATTACGTATGATCTTTAGTATACTTGCAAATTTCATATAAAAAGCAAAACAAAAGCAATAACATAAACATGATTTGCTTATATGGATCATTAGGAAATTCAAATTATTTAATTTGAAACGTGACTCTGGTCTTGAAATATTATTATGAACGTCTATTTTTTTTTTTGCAATTTATCTATATAAATAAAAATGTAATGTTTGTTTGTGGAATTAATATAACTCAAAAACCACTGGACAAATTGACACCAAATTTGGACACAATACACATATCAGGCCAACAAGTGATCATCACTCATAAAAACGCTGAAAAACACAGCAGAAGAGACTTAAAAAGCAAAAAAAAAAACACACACACACAACACATGCACAAAACCATATATATATATATACACACACACACACACACACACACACACATATACACACACACACACACACACAAAACACATACAGACTGGGCCACAGCAACCCATGGCAGAGGACGGCTAGTATATACATTTACTGAACTTGTGATTTATCTTCAGTTTAAATATTCAGACTTATACATGCATAGTTCCTGTAAGAAGCCAGGCCATTCACAGAAGAGAAAACAACAAGAGAAAATCTGCTCTCCTTTGAGAAATACATAAAAGATACTTTTTAAAAACTTGAAACATGTCAAGTTACTTTAAAAAATAATTTGGCAAGATGTTTTTACCAAAAAATGGAGAAACAAATGGAGTTCAGTTACTTTAACATCTGCAAGTAGAAAATCCAGCAAGAAACTTTCCCATCCCAAGCAGCAGAAATCAAAGTCTTAAAGAAAGAACTATCAGTTTTCTTGTCTGTCATGATACCCTAAACAAGTTGCCTCAAAGTAACACTTTATTATATTTTATGGTAGTATAGGTACCAGGTTTTGGATATTTTCATATTCTGTTTGTTGTTTATTGATGTGGCCCTCTTTCATCTGGACTTCTGAATATTCTCAAAATGTATTTTTAATCCAATGTTTCCAGATGATTTTTTTTGTATCACTACTTTCTACTATATTCCCACAGCCCTGTCTTCTTTTTTTCTTTTTAGAGAAAGGTCTCTCCTTGCTGGGCTACCACTTGTGCAATTTCACGGTTACAAAATATGTGGACAAAGTGGTTGCCTACCAAAAGTCATATGAGAAGCAAACACCATGTGGAGGATGGATTCCCTGGAGACAGTGCACCAAAACCTCATACAAAGAGGAGTATCATTCCATCTCAGTCCCAGAGACTGTGAATCTGACAGATTGCTGTATTGGGTATGAACAAGTTGGCCTTTACTGTGTCTTACGTAAGTATTAAGTAAATAATAAAGACAACCCAAAAGGCACAAATGTGGTTTATAAATATGAATATGTGGCAGAGGGTTGGACTGGATGGCCCTTGTGGTCTCTTCCAACTCTGATTCTTTTATTCTATCTCTTTAATGGATGTGGCACAGGAGCTATTTTCTTCCTCTACAGGGCTGTCAAGACCTGAGAGATGCTGTTGCTGACAAGTGCAGAGGGACAGGAGGCAGTTCAGGGAGGAAGAAGCAGCTGGCTTTTATTCTGAGGGGAGGGAAATGGATCATGCTTCTCATCTGGGAGTGCAATCTCATCTTCTCTCCCAGCCACCTACATCCTCCTCCTCTGAATTGTCTCCTCTCCTCCTCTCTTTTCTTTTCCCCTTCCCATCAGCATTGAGCAGCCACAATTGCTATTTCTATCGTGTTATTTTATGCCCACTTGATGTAGAATCTTGATCAGAATCGGTGGCCTATTGCATGGGCCTTTTTAATGTTACTCTGTGCAAGCTCCAATTTTAATTACAATGTATATGGGTCATGAAGGTGGGTTCGAAAGCTCAGTCTTGCATGGATACCTATTCCAGTCATATTCCAGGAATAGGCAAGTATGGGAGTCTACAAAGCTGCATTAGCCCACAGAAAATGCTCCCCCATGCCCCTTCAAAAATTAATATTTTTGCCCTCAAATGTCCTTTAGAATGTGTGGGGGAGGCATTTTGCTATGGATGTGTGCCTTTTTTAGACCCGAAGAAGCCAATTTTAGCAAAATAAACAACCTGAAGTTGATTTCTATTCACAAAAAGGCTCTACTCAGCCCACAGATCCAACTTTGCACACACTACCATAGAGGAAATAGTCTCAGTGAACATATGGATAGTTTAAGAGGCAAGTATTCAAAGGTCAAATTAATTATTAAATTGTCATACTTGTAAAACTTGTGTGTTTCTTTCTGTTTTAATACAGATGTGGTAGCTGTCGTCTATGTTCCAGGATCACACACAGGGGCTATTATTTAAACTTTTCACTACCTGCTTTAAGCAGGATCTTCTGTTGTTTCTGGCTTCCATCAAGAACAGACATAGCCTCTTAGTAACGAACTGCAGTTGTTTGTTTTGTTATGCATACAGAATGTTAAGCATCCATGTACAATATGTTGCTCAAATCCTCCTTATTGCAAAAGGGACTGTTTTACTGCAGTGTTTATTCAGTAGCTTATGACTGTTTTTAGAAAGAACTATAAACTGAGACTGCTACCCAGTAAATTACTGCTGCTGTGTATTCTAGCTTTTCTTCACCGAGAAGATAGTCTGATAGTATTTTGCATGACAAATTATTCTTCTGTATTACTCATGCTTTTTTTGAAGCCCCCACTGTGTGTGTACTTAGACAGACATCTTCAAGTCAGAGGTGGTTTTGCAAGTTTCTTCTTCTGAAAAATAGCCTACAGCACCTGGTACTCATGGACAGTCTTCCAGCCAAGTTCTAACCAGAGCTGATCCTGCTTAGCATCAAAGATCAGATAGGATCTGGTGTCTTTAGATTATTTAAGCCCTTGTACAACATACCTGGCTTCCATTTCCGTCCTGCCCAACTATTTTCCTTCCTCCTTTCTATCTAACTGTTTTACCTTGGTAGATGTTTGTCCTGTTACCTCTGAAATCTGATATTCAGCAACTCCTTGCTTCCTAATATTGTCTGACTGTAAAACAGATGTGAGCAAAGTGCTACAGACTATTTGTGGCCCTTGACTCTTACCATGCTTTGTCCTCACCAAAACAGATCCTTCTTTTAGCCCAAGTTGAGCTCTGAATACATTTTAATCTGAGGTTTTGTGAATGTGCTGGCATAGCATCTGGCTTTATATTTCATATTGTTTCACAACAATTTAAGAGAGGTTTCATCACAATAAAATGTTTATAAAGATTTCTATATACCTTTACGAAGTAGTGGTTCTTTGGCCACATATAATGCAAAATCTTTTCAGGCTGTAGGAAGAAATGATGGTCATTTTACTTGCTACAGCTGATCATTGCAAGCCTGCCAGCACTGCATTTTGAATCACGTAATTATGAACATCAACACTAGCAGTGTAAATGCTTATTCCAAAAGTAGATCTGCACCTAGAAGTAGGTTGCCCCAAGGCTCTGAGCAATGGAGAAGCTCTTCCATCCCCCCCCCCCCCCCCCCCCAATGCAGACATGTTCAGGGCTCCCTTCTTTGGCCTCGTCGAGAGAAAAAGTACATCACTTGCCTCTTCCAGATCATTCTGTAGACCTCAAAGTCTTAGTCACAGCTTCTGTGAGTGGTAATGTACTGTCTAGACATAGTCTTAAATAAATAATGAAACCAGGAAGTCGACAACAAGTGGGATGAATTAAGAGTGTGTCACTGAACAGCTCCCAACTGACTTCTCTGCACACTCTATGAATGAAGCTGAAAGATCTGATGGGCACTTAAGTGTGCGTTTTCCCTGGACACTTTTCCATACTGAATATGACGATATCATTTAATTTTCCTGGAATGGCAAATGAAGGCCATTTCACACTTTGAGTAGCTCATTCATTCTCTCTCTTTCTCTTGGTGAATCTTTCTACTACGACTAAACCGACTAAGTCAATTAATTAATTGGGAAACATTGGAAAACAGAACATTGCTGAGAAACTATGATTACTGATGGTTTGTGCATAATATACACCTTGGGTCCCAGCTTTGGGAAAAATATGGAGAGTAAAGAAATCAAGAGCAACAACAACAACAACATTTACTGGACAAACATAATTATTCCCTTCAAATTGCTGGGAGGCAGATACTGAGCTGCCCAGTAATATGTAATTCGTTGAGTGGCTGATATGTAATTCGTTGAGTGGCTGATATAGGAATATGGGTGCCACTAAATCCTCTCAGCACTCACTGGCAGTGCTAGCAGATGGCTTTCATGTCAGTAGGGTGATGAATCTAGCCCACATTTTTGCCTGAACATAAAAAGAGCTATCCAAGGTCCTTCTATAGTTCCAGCACCTTGGATAACTCCTTTGAAGATCAGATAAAAACCTGGAATGAAGTCACCATCCACCACTGTCTTTTAATAATTATTTACCAGCATTTGTATTGCAGTAGTAGCCATAAAGACAATAAGCCCAGTTCATTTGAAGATGTAAAAACCAGTTTACAGATTTAAAAGAGTCCAAAAACTAAAGATGTGCACTAAATATTTAAATATTGGAAAGCCACAACAGGAGTACCAAATGCTTTGTCCTCCTATGCTCATTCTGTCCTCACACATGTAAACTGTATACCCTCTTCACAACTCAGGAGAGCTTTGACTAAGTGAAGGAGCTATTGACTGGTTTCTGGCCGTTAAGGGGTTGTTTGACAGATGGCTGCACTCTGGGTGTCGTGCCTGTAAGGACGATTGCTTGATAGACTTTGACAGGGACATGTTGGAGGTCAGTCACTCTGTATGGGCTGATGTAAACCCCGGTATTCCAGATTAATGGTTTCCATGGCTCTGAGCCAGCACTGCTGCCCACCCCAGTTGGTAGTGTTGTTCCCCCCACAGATCACATCTGTGACCTGCTAAAATGTTTATATCATCAGATGAAGAAAGAAACAGCTGCTTTGAACACCATATTTGGTGTTCTAGCCAGGACTGAATTTGCTTAGCTTCCAAGATCACATGGAATCTGATGCCATTGGAGTATTTAGTGTAAAAACCTTATTTATCCTAAACAAATCAAAGTTTTGTTCAAGGTACTATATGCATTAGTTGTATATTGCTCCCTGATTATCCCTGTACTTTTGTGCCTTGCTCATTTCTAACCTATATGCCATTTTTCTTTATTGTGCTTTATACCCTCTGGGAAGTAATTTAGTTTTTCTTTGTACTGTACAATAATAATAAAGGTAACAATGATTACTAATTAATACGATCAATACACAATATTAATGATAATATCAGGTGGCCTCAAAACTCTTCTACAGACCAGATTATTCTTCCTGTATTGAAGAAAAAGTCTTAGATGTTTAATTACCACCAGCCTTTTAAATAAATATAGTGGTTAAAGCTAGCATTCCCACTTCCTACTGAGAAAACTATGTCTTATTTATTTGAATGATTTAGATGTGAACAGACTGACCCTCATTTCCAACTGATGAACTATGTGTATGTAAAGAATGTTTATTGTAGAAACTGATCTGATTTTTTGTTGCCACTATTATGATTTCGTATCAAAAGCATTGCATAAATTAGCATAAAAGGAGGAGTGCAGATGGATAAATATCTTTTGACCAAAAACGGACAACAGCAATGGCATTGTCTGTAGCCTCCAACAATTCTTCCTCTGTACATGAGGCAGGGAATAGTGGACAAGCATACAGATGCGGAGTTGTCTGTTCTGCTCCACAGTCACATAAGGTGTGGGATTCTTTTAAGTAGTGCCATTTTGCCAGGTTGTCTTTTGTTCTGCCCATTCCACTTCTGAGTTTATTCAGGGACTTCCAAGTTGCCCATTCTTGGTTTGCCCCTGGAGGAAGACCCTCATGGGGGGCCATCCAGTTGGGGTTTCCTGGTTTAGCTGTCCAGAGGGATACCCTCTGTTGTTGCCACTGTAGTATTGCAACAAACTCTTTTTTTTTTTGACCATGCCCTTACAAAAATAGCTTCTATGCATGGTTACTTTCATGTCAGCAGTGGGATGAATCAGTTTGGGTTTCAATCCAACTTGTTGTGGTTCTATCCAAAATGCTGAACTGTATACTGCACATTAGATTCCGCACCTTGTGTGTATGTGCCTTCAAGTTGCCTTTGGATTTATGGCAATCCCATGAATTTAATGGGGTTTTCTTGTGCAAGGAATTCTCATAGTTTTGCCAGGCTCTTCCTCTGAAATATAACACACAACACCTAGTATTTGTTGACAATTGGCTATCCAAGTACTTACTAGAACTGACCCAGATTAGCTTCCAAGACCGAATGGGATCCAAGGCCTTTCAAGTATTTAGGCCTCTTTCACCAATTAAAGGAGATAGATCCTTTAAAGTATGAATTAAAACCAAGAGTGGATTCACTGCAGATGAGAACAAATACAATCTTCATGTAGAAACACACTTCTATGTGCACACATACAAAGCTGAAAGAAGGGACAAGAGAAACCTAATTTTTATTATTTCCTTTCTTTCACACAGTAAAATGCACATGTATGGCTTCACATAACCCCTTACCTCTTTTTCCCTCTTCCTTTCCCTAAACCTAACCTTTACTGCCAGCATCACTTTCTTCCCTTTTGTAATAACCAGAGCAAGGGGGATAAAGAGAAAGACAGAAGGCAAAATTAGAAGATGTTTCAAATAGCTGAGAATAAGATGGAACTGGCCTTCTGCATCTCCAGACAGAATTCCCACTGTCTTTGCTTGCCCTCGATTAATCCTGACTGTGGTGATAGGAAAAGTGGTTTAATCCTTCTAGAGGGTAAGTTTTTGGGGAAGGCTGCCCTCTATGCAAAGAAGGATCCCTTCTCCAAGTGTTCTTCCATAAAAGAGGAGGTGACTTGTGAAAGGGACACATCTCCAGTCTTACTTTTATTATTATTGCTGCTGCTACATGCTGAGTCTTCTGTATCCAAAATGTTTGGGACCAGAAATTTTTCAGTTTTTGAATTTTTGGGGATTGTACATAGTCGATGAGAGATAGAGAGGAAAGGGAGCTAGTCACACATCCAGTGCCCACTGTGAAACTTCAAGAAGCCCCAACTTCACCAGTTCCAGAAATCCCGCTAAAGTTTTGAGTTTTGAATTCCACACATTCTAGAAGATTTTAAACATATATTTTATCTGTGTACGTCCCCTCTCCTTTACATGTTCGTTTTCAAGTACATCATAAGAGTCAGAGAATGGTTTGACTTTTCCAGTTTTACAAGAGAAAGATATTCTGATGGGCATACTTAAATCCTTGGGTAGTGGATTTTGCAGTGGATTTTGCTGTTAAGTGCTTTGTTCTTTAGCTCTAAACAGATCCAGTGAATTTGCCTCAAGGCTTGGTGCCTGTCCAGATAAGGATGTGGAAGCATTGGATATTTCATGCACGTTTGATTTGGATTGTCCGGAACATAAAAAATGCTGTAAGACATCTAAAGGAGTTGGTTGTTCCAATCCTGTGTCTGAAGGTACAGTATTGACCACTGTTTCCTCTCATTCTAGCAGGCATTAATCATATTTTGTTTGGTCAATGAGAGAGGATCGGTGCAAAATAATCATAGAACTAGATAGTGATGATATAATATCGTTATAGGGCTTCCCCTCGACAAAAACCAGAAGTGATTTCAGGGTACTTTTTATTTGGGGGAAAATTATTTTTCTGGGCCATGTGCACATCCGTGGAGCAAGCACAAGGTGAAGTTGGTCCAAGCTCCCCTTGGAAGGTAAATGGCAACAACTTGAGTAAACCCCTGTATGGGTGTGTGCAGGCTCCCAATGTTAGGAAGATTCCTCCTGGTTTGGGGGACTATTTGCAAGTCCTCCAAAAGTTTTTTTCCGAGCCTGGGACATATGTAAAGCTGGGAACCCTTATTACTATATCTATCCTGTAATGACCCATGTGGTTACAAGTCTGGCTGGGATTCTGCCACAGAGTTTGGGAGACCTTTTGAAATTAAAAATTCTGTAACTTCTTGGGCAGTATGGCTGTCAGGCATACTGACATTGAGATTACAGAAGCCTGTATAATGACATTTTTACTTAATTTAGACGTAATAATTTATAAAATATTTTCTTTTTAAAAAACAAGCATTTTCCAAGTTGAGTTCTAGTAAATTACATTGAAGCATCAGGAGACCTGCAATCCACAAAGGAGATTATGCAGGCCTCATCCTTTGTTTGTGCAACTAATTGTGGGGAGATGGTGCCTGGAGCTGATTACTCCAGTGCCACACTCTCCTGCTCCATGTCTGTGGCTGATCTCTTGGTATTTCATCTGAGATGAAGAATTGGGCAAGTTTCTATAATTTAAAGGACAATCGAAACCAGAATTTCTGAGCCCTGGAACTGATTTTAGTGTAACAAAAATGTTCACTGTGATAATTGGGGACTAGTTTAATTTTCAAGCAACTAACAAATCATTTGCTCTCTTCAATTTTAGAGGGGAATGTGACAAAACACTGGTACAATGTGTCTGTCCTGGTGAAAATGGATTTCTATGAATTAAGCAAAGTTGATCCAAGACTTCTCAGCCATTCTCGCCTTCTACATTCAATGGTATGAATAAATAATATCCTTATCAATCTTCTGCCATCTTCTGTTGATGTTATAATCAAAGAACCACCATGGTGTTGTGCTTTGAGCGTTGGCCTATGACTCTAGACACCATGAAAACCATGAGAAACCACTTGGTGACTCTGGGCAATTCATACATTCTCAGTTCCAGGAAAACCTTTCAATAGGTTCATATAGATTAGTGGTTCCATAAATTGGAAACTACTTGAAAATACACAACAAGTGACAGAAAAACCCAAATAGGTCACATGAGCACCATCTACTGGAGAAAGAACTAGTTACCAGCTAAACACATTCATTTTCCCTATAGAATCATAGCAACCATGTGTTGTTTCTTAATAGACAATCCGTAGCTTGTATATTTTAAAAGTTGGTTTTCACCTGTAGGGCTCATATCCAAGCTATCTGAAGGACTGTTTTCCCCTATGGGCATGTACAACCTTTAAGATCTGCAAGGGAAGCACTTTCCCCTATTTTAACTCCTTCACAGGCATAGGTTGGTAGGAACACTGGCAAAATCTCCTCCACTGGAGAATATATGAACCATCACAGAGATTAAGATAATCTGGGGAGGCCCTGCTCTTGGTCCCGCCTTCGTCGCAGGTGCACCTTATCAGTGGTGGCCCCTCGGCTGTGGAACACCCTCCCCAGTGATCTTAGAGCAGCCCTCTCCCTCCTGGGCTTCATAAAGACAGTGAAAACCTGGCTCAAGGGTCAAGCCTTTGGAGATTAATCTATACTGCAATAATAGCCTCAAAATATGTGCAATTGATCTTTGGAACAGCCTTAGATTATGATTGAGGATGGCGTGATTTCAATAGTGAATACAATGTTTTATAGGTTTCAATGTGCAATTAATTTTAATTTAATTTAATTTTTAACTTAAGTGTATTCTAACTGTTTGTTGTCCAAAGGCATTGAATAGTTGCCATATGTAAAGGCACCTTAAGTCCCCTTCAGGGTAGGGAAATATGGTGGCATACAAATAGAGCAAGCAAATAAATAAATAAACCTTTCTCTGTGGCTTCTCTCACACTTTGAAACTCTTTTTTATTTTTTATTTTGGTAGCAAGTTGTGACCACGCATGTAGCTGGGGGTGGGGTGGGGGGCTTGGGGGGCTTCAGTCCCCCCGAAATTCTCATGGTGGTCTGCGAGAAGGCCTTACTGGTACATTATTTATACTGTTATGTTTATTCATATCATGATCTGATCACCATGCTCAATATATCCCATATGCATGGGGGTATTGGGGTAATGATACAAAAGGTTTGCTAGGCTAGACCCTCTTTCACTCAGACTCAGCCCCCCCCCTCCCCCGTATCAAACTCATCTCCCCCCGAAACAAAATCCTAGCTATGGGCCTGGTTGTGACCTTTCTTTTCCAGAAAGACATTGGAAACTAATTTTTAAACGGGCTTTTATGGTGCACTACAACCGTATTTTAATTTATTTTAAAGTAAGCTTTTAATTGGTTTTGGAGCCCCCAGTGGCACAGTGGATTAAACTGCTGAGCTGCCGAACTTACTGACCAAAAAGTCGCAGGTTCGAATCGGGGAGCGGCGTGAGCTCCCGCTGTTAGCCCTAACTTCTACCAGCCTAGCACTTCAAAAACATGCAAATGTGAGTAGATCAATGGGTACCGCTCCGGCGGGAAGGTAACAATACTCCATGCAGTCATGCTGGCCACATGACCTTGGAGGTGTCTACGGACAATGCTGGCTCTTCGGCTTAGAAATTGAGATGAGCACTAACCCCCAGAGTCAGACACGACTGGACTTAATGTCAGGGGAAAACCTTTGCCTTTAATTGGTTTAAATTATGTTGTTATTTAATAGTGGGTTTTTTTTTAAAAAAAATAATCTGTTATTAGTTTTTACAATTTTAATTTTGTATATTTTGAATTATAACATTTAGTAGGAAATGCTTAATATAACTTTACTTATGTACTATCATGCAACAAATAAGCAGAAGCTCTCTCTTTTACAGATTAGTGGGGCATTATGGGCCTTTAATGCAACGATGTACCATATCGAGACTATACAGGCAGAACCTTATATGGAGACAGTGTCTTCTCAGGTCCTGGTGGGGCTCCAAGAGTTTGTTCCATTGGTGAACATTTCTTTATTGGTGAAGGACATTGTGATGCGAGTGTCTGAAGTGATTGACATAGTTGTGCAAGGTAATTATTTCAAATATTTGTCTCATTATAGTAGCTTTATAAGAGAAGTACTTAAGAGTCTTCAAATATGCACATTTGACCAAATATGGCAGATACGACATACATTTGAGAAATTTGTCTGAGGAAGAATTCTCACTATTTGTACTTTCAAGCCACCTGTAAACATATAGTGATCCTATGATTTATAAGCTTTTCTTAGACAAAGATTAACTAGACACAGGAAATTAGACAAGTTCCTCATTAAAAATGTGCCTTCTGTAATGATCATGTCTTTCAGGATACAATGATGAATAATCTATTATTCCTTGTGGTTTCTAGTTGCACCAGTTGAACACTTTATATTACCTACTTTAAATTCAGAACAAACCAAACTAGAAATGTTCATGGTGCAATATAGAGAATTTATCCCTTTTCTACATTTTCAGTAAAGACAGTCCGTCTACGTCCCCCCCCCCCCTCCCCGGCGTAGAATTAATGTTTGTTGTGGAGCAGCTAAAAACCTGTATTAATCTCAGATATTTTTCATAAATAAGAATGAATTATGAAGGGCTTTTTTGGACTCCAACGTCTCCAATCTGCCAAATTTGAAGTCCAAAAAGGTAACTTTCCCAAGCTTTTAGAAAAACCGGTCTACCCAGGTTTGAGGAAACAAAAAACATTAGTCAAATCAAATGTTCTTTTGGCCAGAACACAATCCTAGGGTGACTTTATAAAATACACTCATATGTGTAGGTAAAATATTCACTTGAAAATTCATACACAAGGCAGATTTTAATAGATAACTCTGATTCAGATCTGATTATTTATAGTCAATTGATAGTTGACAATTTGACGAAATTTAAGGAACACATATGGTGGGGGGCTTTTCCCATTTTTACTTATATTTCTTATTAAATGTAACTGATTTTGACCCAGGTTCATCAGAAGTTCTGCTTCAGAATAAAAATTCTGTTTTGGTGCAAAATTTAACATCTGTCTCACAAGAAACTGGCAGACCATTAGAATCTGAATGCTGTAAGTAAAGTTATCCTGCTTTTTTTTTAAAAAAAAACTTATTAGATTTTATATCTTTTTTATCTAGGAAACAACTGTGCACATACGGTTTTGGCTTATTTATGGCAGAGGCAACATGAAAAGAGTACCCCAGAAATAGAAAATATGGATATGAAAAATGCAGTTTTGATAGCTCACTGCCATCTGGTAGAACTAATGTTTGCAGTGACATCTGGTGGTGTATTTTTAAAATTCTGCCAACAATTACAGCATACTTTTCAACAGTTTATCACCCACAAAGCCCTGTATGCAGGCCCGTAGCCAGGATTTCGTTTCGGGGGGGCGGGGGGCTGAATTTTTTTCAGGGGGGGTTGGGGGGGCTGAGTTTCGGGGGGGGGGGCTGAGTCTGAGTGAAAGAGGGTCTAGCCTAGCAAACCTTTTGTATCATTACTCCAATACCCCCATGCATATGGGATAGATCTACCCTAGCAAACCTTTTGTATCATTACCTCAATACCCCCATGCATATGGGATATATTGAGTATGGTGATCAGATCATGATATGAATAAACATAACAGTTTAAATAATGCACCAGTAAGGCCTTTTCGCGAACCACCATGAGAATTTCGGGGGGGGGGGAGGGCTGAAGCCCCCCCTGGCTACCCCCCCCCCCGGCTACATGCCTGCCTGTATGGTTCAGATCCAACCTATCTTTGAGTCTGTGTCTCTTTCTATGAACTCACACAGGTCCTAAGATCTGCCAGGAAGCCCTCCTCTCGATCCCACCTCCATCTCAAATGCGGTTGGTGGGGACAAGAGAGAGGGCCTTCACGGTGGTGGATCCCCAACTTTGGAATTCCCTCCCTAAAGAGATTAGGGTAGCCCCCACTCTCCAAATTTTCTGCAAACACCTGAAAACATGACTTTTTAAACAAGCCTTTTACCATGTTTAGAGATTATGGCTTTAGTCATTAGGTTTGAGGATTTAGTGATTGCTTCATTTCTGCACTTTATGGGGACTGATATTGTATACAGCCACTATTTTGTAGCTTGCTGGGTTTTATAATATCTTTTAAATTTAATAGGGGATTTATTGCTGTTTTAAGTATAATTGGATCTATTTTATTGTTATTAATTTTTACTTTTCTGTATTCTGTTGTTTCTATATATTTTTACACTATTGAGTGCTTACTGTGAGCTTGTCCTGGGTCCCTTCGGGGAGATGGTGGTGGGCTACGAATAAAGCTTATTAGTATTAACAGGCAATTGTAGTTCTGTTTCTGTACTCCCCAACTATTGTAATATGGCAGGGGCAATCTAAATTTATCCTCTCATCCTAATTTTTCAGACCTAAGGTGAATCTAAATCTGTAATAGTTGTGAATGTAAATACTTTAGACCAACTTGTTTCAAATATATATGTATAAGAGTACCAATGAAAATAATTTCCAGTTTGACATAATCTTTTTCAAATTCTAAAAGACGTAATTCATCCATTTTTCTTTTGCTGTTGTTTCTTTCCAATAAAATACTTCCTGTGATGAAAGCCATATTGGCACTTTGGGGTATAATCTTGACTGGTTGATGATACCTCTCTATATTCTTAAGATGGCATGTCTAAGAAAATGATAGTTAAACCCATTCATGTTAATTATATTGTACTACAAATAACCAGCCTTTTAAAAACTATAGACTAGTATTGTACATGGTTCACAATATCTTCCCTTGGGGAAATCTTTCGGCATGTAGACTTTATTTCTTACCATAGCACAGAGGATCCGTTGAGCAGTGTAAAGCCTCTGGCAATGAAGTACTTTTATGTTTTGTTAGTAACTGCAGGAAGAATTTTAATTGCTTTGTCTGATGTAGATTTAGCCATTTAGTTTAGTTAATTGAATCAAAAGATTTGCATTTGTACATATGAATAAACATGATGTTGTTGAATATTTAATGCCTATTAAGCCATGGCACTGTTCCAAAGTCTGTGCACCACAGTATTCATGTAGTTGCTATATTCCTATGGATTTGGCTCTTTGAATGTTTCAGTTGTTGATCTTAGAATATTATTTTAGTCAAGTTAAATATTATTTTCCCTCCATAATAATACTGGCATTATGTTTTGTGGACTCTAGGTTTGTGGACACTAGTGGTGAAGAATACTGGGGAATGCAATCACTCTGTATTGGGATGTGGGCTTCATGACTTCACCCATATTTTTAATATTTTCTTGAAGTTATATAGGAATGCAAGTACATTAATAGCAGCCAGTGCAAGCCCAAGGTATTTCACTGCTTGACATGAATGTTAGGTAGCAGTTTTTATCTTTTTATTTGGACCAAAACCAAACACTATCCAGATACCAGTTCTTGTTGTCACCTATCATCCATCATGTAGGAGGCTTGCCTTGCTTTGCTGCGTGGCAGGGCCACCACGAGTGGATAGATTGGAAAAAAAAAAGGGTAACACTTGGCAAAATTACTTTATTTGTTGGAGTATGTCTCTCAGAATCTCTTGGCTGACTCTAGATTTGCTTAAATTTGATAGATATCATCAATCGTAGGCAGAAGAAACTCTGTAAGGTGTTGAAGGGGGCTTGGGTGCCCCCTTCAACACCAAGTTTTTTATAGCATGGAATGTCCCTCTCATTTGAGAAAGGAAACCAAAATCAAAAGATCCAAATCAGGCTTACAATGTCTGCTTGCTGACATTAATGATCCCTAGAAACTTATGGTAATTCGTCATGTGTTTTAAGCACAAAAGGTGTATTTGGATAGATAGAAATATGTCAGCATATAAAAATATAATCCTTTTTTTTCATGTTACTTCCCTGACTTCCTCATTTCATCACTGAACCCCTAACAATCTGAAGGGTCAGCTATCACTTTGATAATTCAACCCTCGGGGCCAACAGTAAAACAATCCCAGTAGTACCTCATAGACATGGAAGCAATTTTGGTTCATAAGGGACATATGGGTACTTCTTTTTCCATGTTACTTCCCTGACTTCACTGAAGAGATTGTTCTATTCATTTCTATTGAATTGAATCAATAGATAAATTAATATGAGACAAATAAGAGTTTGAATGTAGGAATGATAACACTATGTAACAGAATTTGAAAAATGTTCTGTTCCTGGTTTGAAAGTGTTGTACCCTGCTTAATTGTGTGGTACTGAATTTGAAAGTAGTTGTTATACTCCAGAAACTTCATTTTGTGGCTGCCACAAACTACGTTGAATTGGTTGAGACTCTGAGATATTCATTGAAAAACTGTAGCAAAATGTGCTGCAGGATGTTCTGCAATAACAACGTTTTTGCAGTTTAATCATGTTTTTATGACAGACCCAAATAGGAAATGACATTTATATCCTAGGAACAAAAATCGTGTTACATAGTGTAATGCAAGAGATCAGTTATCCCATAGCAATTGCCTGTAATTCATTTGGAAATTCACATGATTAGATCACTGAAAAATACTATCGCAAAAGGAGAATAATAGATGCTTTTAAATCAAGCCTGAAGAATAGATACAATTATAGTTTGTGCCTCTTTTATCTTACGACCTTGTCACACGGCCCTTTTGGGCTGTGCCGTTTTACCAGCTTTTGCTGGCATGTGGGGTGCCACGTGGGGCGGCTTGTGGAGCCCCACACGCCCTCCCTTCTCCCCTCATCACATGGTGGGGATGGGGAATGCTGCCAATGCGCTTTGCCCTGCCGCCCTTTCTGCCATCACATGGGGATTGGGGGTGGAAAGTGTGGGTAGCTCCGTCAGAGCTATCCTAACAACACTTTCTTCCCCATGGTAGAGGCCCTGCCTTCACTTCAGGAGGAAAGTGGGTGGGGCCTGGCATGCATTGTGTGATGGTGCATGGCACACTCCATCCAAGCTGCAAAATAAAGCGGCAAAATGAGGCATGTGAAGAGGTTCTTAGTCAGAGCATTTCAAGTTTGGGCATACTAAAAGTGAAACTAAATGTTTGGATAAATAGTGAAATGCCAGTCTAACATCATTTAAAGTCTAAAGGCAATTACATGATGAAATTGTTGTGGAAGATAGTAGTATATGTCACAAGAAGATTGATTCATATTTGCAAGCACTTGTACATATTCGCTACCAGAAATGTACTGTTAATTTGCTTTTTTCCCTTAAAGGTGACAGTATTTACACATGTACTGAACAATTTAGATCTATGCAATATAGCATAAGCTTGCATAATACTGAACCACAAAAATTAATTTTGGTATATCTCTTACAGATCCTCTCCCTATCAAAAATCATATGATCTTCAGCATAACCAGCAGCAGTTTTGAAATGTCTTGGAATGTAAATTCAGTACGGAACCATTCTTTCCAAGTTGAAGTATACAAAAACAAGAAACTAATTCAAAGAACTGAAACCACTGATATGAAATTAGAGGTGTCAAACTTAGAAACTGGTGTGATGTACACAGCAAAAGTCAGCTATGAAGCCTGCAACATGCAAATTTTTTCTTACAGAAATGTGAGGACAGGTATCTATAATTATTGTTTCAGTTCTCACTGCTTGTTTCTGTTAACACAATTCCCCTTGCAACTATGTTATCAACTAAATGAAGACACGGGTTCAATGGTTTTAAAATTCAATCCATAAATGACTACTACTACTACTATCATCCCACGTTTTTGGAACTCGAGGCAATTTACAACAGATTAAGCATCGGATTTAAACTGTGGCCTGATTGAGTTCATTTTCTTAATTTTAAATCTGGACTTCTCCAAATATCCTGCCCAAACTGCATAACAAAATTTTACCATCTCTGCTCAAATCCATACATGCAGTTTTGAAGTCAGTGACTGCTCTCATCATGATTACTACTTTAAGAATAAGTAATAATTTATACCACTTCTTCAGATGGGTCGATTTGCCCATCTTACACTACTTCGCCTCCCTTTTTGGCAAAGAACTCTTCACACAATGTAAAGGGCTCCGTGGTGGAAAGAGAGGTGAAGTAGCACATGTTGCTGCCGTGACAACATGGGAGCCTTCATGTTTTGCTTTCTCTTCAGTGGGGGGAAGCCAGGTGGTGACACTTCTCCCTGTGGGATGAGGGAGAAGCTAAGACGGGTGATGTGGGGCATGGAGCGGTGGCTTCTCCACGCCCCCCCGCCCCCGCCCCATTGGGAGCCTATGGAGCCGCACCAATGTGGGGCAAATCCATGGACCTTTCTGAGAAGGTCCTAATTTTAACTTAGATCGTTGATGTTGTATTTTCAGTGTAATTGTGACCCTAAGCTAAAACTATTATAGTTTTCTTGCCATGATTTGTTCCAAAGGGAAATGATTTTATCATTTTCTGAGGCTGAAAGTGTGTCAAGAGTCACTTAGTAGATGTCAATATTCTCCAGAGTCTCCAGTTTTGAACACTCAAATTGCTACACCATGCTGGCTCTCTAAGCTTAGATAATTTTTTGAAATTAATGTTGGTTTATATTGCTGGATGAGGATGAACAAATTGAAATGGAATCCTGACAAGACAGAGGTACTCCTGGTCAGTCTTAGGGTCAATCATGATATAGGTTTGCAACCTGTGCTGGACAGGGTCACACTCCCCCTGAAGGCACAGGTCTGCAACCTGGGGGTCCTACTGGGCTCAGCATTTACCCTGGAGGTCCAGGTGTCAGTAGTGGCCAGGAGGACCTTCACACAGTTAAAGCTTGTGTACCAGCTGCACCCATACCTTAAAAAGCCTGATTTGGCCATGGTGGTGCATGCCTTAGTCACATCCAAATTAGATTACTGTAATGCACTCTATGTATGGCTGCCCCAGAAGAGCTTTTGGAAACTTCAGCTGGTACGAAGATCACCTGCTAGATTGCTCAAAGGAGCAGGATACAGAGAACAAACAACGCTCCTATTAAATAACTACACTGACTACCGTTTTTTTTCTGGGCACAATTCAAGGTGCTGGTGTTAGCCTATAAAGCCCTAAATGGTTTGGGCCCAGTCTACTTAGCTGACTGCATCTCCTCCTATGAGCCCACACAAGCCCTGAGGTCTTCAGGAGAGACCCTGCTCTCGGTCCCACCATCATCTCAAGTGTAGTTGGTAGGAATGAGAGAGAGGCCTTTTGGTGGTGGCCCCATGGCTCTGGAACTCCCTTCCTAAAGAGGCTAAATGGCTCCTTCCTTGCTTTCCTTTAGGAACTGAGTCAAAACTTTCTGTTGGGAGCAGGCCTTCCCTGAAGGAGAACAGTGGTACTCCAAACATCAGATTTATGTGTGCAATATGACAATTATAGTGGATTTCCAGCAATGCACTTGACTACTGCCCAAGGAATGGATTTTAGTTGAGATTTTAATCCTATTGCTTAAATTATGTTGGGTTAGCTATTTATTATATTGTTGAGTGATTTATAACTTTTCATGAGATGTTGTGTTTTAATTACTGTGTTTATTTTTATGGTTGTAATGTTTTTTGTTTACATGTTGTTTGCCGCTTTAAGTCTCAATCTGAGAGAAAAGCAGGATAGAAACAAACAAACAAACTAATAAATAAATATAATAATGACATTACCCCATTTCTTTTCATATTTTGTTTTTAGATGCCTTGATATTTGGCATAACACTAAGGATCTTGAACTATAACTTCACGAACCAGCTCCTCAACACTAGCAGTGTAGAATATGAAGCATTTTCTAGTATTTTGATGACTGAGGTAATGCCAACATACTTATACATTTGAAAAACTTGGATGAGGTTTCCTGTAATACAACACTTCTTTCATTTGTATAGATTTTCACATTCATTTTCTTTATTAGAGAGTAACCTTTACAGATCAGCTGCCTCCATTATATTCACAGAGGATTGCCATCTGACCAGGAAAAAAATAGGCTGATCTTGTGTCTTTAGCAGCAGCTAAATGTGCAGGTGACAAAATAATATTACTTGCAAACTTTACAAGTTAGAAACTGTTTACAGACAAAGGAGAATGTGCTGGAAAACTCTTGAGAATACTGTGACTAATGGGAACTGCCATAGTAAGCAGGTGATATACTTGTGTATACTCTAGAGCAGCGTTTCTCAACCTGGGGGTCGGGAGGGGGGTCATCAGACGGGTCACCAATGACCATCAGAAAGCACAGTATTTTCTGTTGGTCATGGTGTTCTGTGTGGGAAGTTTGGGCCAATTCTGTCATTGGTGGGGCTCAGAATACTCTTTGTAGGTTAACTTTGTAGGTTCCAGCAACTACAACTCCCAAATGTCAAGGTATATTTTCCCCAAACTTCACCAGTGTTCAAATTTGGGCATATTGAGTATTTGTGCCAAGTTTGGTCCAGATCCATCATTGTTTGAGTCCACAAAGCTCTCTGGCTATAGGTGAACTACAACTCCAAAACTCAAGGTCAATGACCACCAAACCCTTCCAGCATTTCTGTTGTTCATAGGAGTTCTGTGTGCCGGGTTTGGTTTAATTCCATTGTTGATGGAGTTCAGAATGCTTTTTGATTGTATGTGAACTATAAATCCCAGCAATTACAACTCCCAAATGACAAAATCACAACCCCGCCTCCCAACCCCACCAGTATTCAAATTTGGGCATATCGGGTATTTGTGCCACATTTGGTCCAGTGAATGAAAATGCATCCTGCATATCAGATATTCACATTACGATTCATAACAGTAGCAAACTTACAGTTATGAAGTAGCAACAAAAATAATCTTATGCTTTGGGCTCACCACAACATGAGGAACTGTATTAAGGGTCAATGTATTAGGAAGGTTGGGAACCACTGCTCTAGAATCCATATTAAGACACAGACATATGTATCAGATTGTATGATATATGCAATGCAGAAACATTAGGCTACTATTCAAGAATTAAAACACAATTAAATTAATTTCTAGCCATTTATAAATGGGTACCAGATCAAGCATGATTCAGAAAAAAATATTTATCAAGTTAAGAGAAATGATGAGAAAGTGGTTCTGTATAATACAAAGTTAATTAGAAGGAAAGAGGTATACTTTGAATTAGAAGACATTAACCAAATATTATAGGATATTGATTGTAGATTTATGTTTCATTCCAATTAATTTGCTACATCATCTTGGGGCAATAGTATAGACCCAAATACATTTTGAAAAAGGTATATTAATGATGAGACTCAACTTTCCTTGTGGATATGGGGGTAACACAGCTTTTGAAAGCTGCAAATACTGAACATGTTTAAAAAGAGCAACATGGAAAATACAATTCTAGATGTATATACTTCGTTGTTGAAATAGCCATTGTTCTTTCATCTGTTTTACAGATTAGAAATTCATTCCCTTCTGATATATCAGCATTATACAAAAAGGGGATTCTGAAAATGCACATTTACTCTCTTGAAACTGGTAGTATCATTGTGAGGCATAAAATCTTAATAGGAGACCTGCAATTTCCTAAAGACTTATCTGCATTTGATCCAATGATGTCATCATTGTCCCAAAGTCATGTGTTCCTCCTTGACCGCAAGAACTCTGTAGTGGAAGGTAGGCTGTTGAATTTAATAGCTAGCTTACATTAGTATGTCTGTATCTTTTGTCATTTGAAATATAGTGGCAGTGAGTTTGGCTGAATCACAGATACTGCGTCACTCAGATATCTGCCTGGTGTTGCAGTGGCATAAAGCTAGTTTTCCTCAACCCCAAGCACTAGTGTTGATGCACAGCACCCCAATATCTCTAGTCCTTTTTACTTTCCAGTCAAGGAGATAAAAATACAATAGTTTATTCTTCAGAAGAACAAGGGAGTGGCTTTTAAATTCGAGACAAGCCAAGAAAGCCTCAAGAAAAGTGCCACGTTTCGTTGTTCCTGAATCGTAGTTTTTATAATCTCAGATTGATGCGAACGCATACATGTACATACAAACTCAAACTTTATTTTTCCCTTGTCTGTCTGTAATTTTCCCCTCTTGGCTCAGTGCGTCTGTGTCTCTTTCTGTTCCTGTAAACAATCATTGTTCTCCTGAAACAATTCCTGCACAATGTGTTGTCGAAGGCTTTCATGGCTGTAATCACTGGGTTGCTGTGAGTTTTCCAGGCTGTATACAGCCTGGAAAATGCACAGCAACCCAATTCCTGCACATTCCCCCTCTCCCATCTCTTTTGGGTCAGTCTGATCTCTTTCTCTACCTCTCACACAGATGTCTCTTGTCCTGGCACCTAGCAACGCTTATCTCTTTCCACATTTCTACATGTTTTCTCCTTTTTGCTCCTTTTTGTTCCCTCCTCCTTTCTCTTTAAATCACTTTAAATTTCCAGGTTCCAACACTAGGCAAAAGTGGTTCAGCAATGGAACTAATTGCTTTGGGAGGTCACCTTCTTTGGACTTTTCAAAAAGAGATAAAGTTATCTATTAGGGATGCTTTAGCCCAGTGGTTCCCAGCCTGTGGTTCGTGGACCTCCAGTGTTCTGCAGGAACGAAAATATGGTCTGCAGCCTCATGGTCTGCAAAATATGGTCTGCAGCCTACACCGTTGCTTCAAAACACTCTTATAGTGCCGAGGCAATGAGGATGCCAGGAGGGGAGAGGCTGACTACCCATGAAAGATTACTATTATCACATCAGCTCTAGATTATTAAATATGGTTTTCTGTGGGTGAGCAAACGGCAACTACTGGATGGCATATGTTCTGTATCAGAAACTATAGCTGATGTGGTCTATTCAATGCAATTTTCTGAATCAGCGCCCCAAATAACCAAACTGAATCTAAAGTTGACCAAAAACTGATTCAAAACCCTTTTGGTAGTAATGTTGGAGAGTAGTCCCTGGTCAAAGTAGTCCCTGGTCAAGTAGTCCCTGGTCAAAAAAACATTGGCAATCACTTCTTTAGCTGAAGATCCTGCATTGAGCAGGGGAGATGGACTTAAGCAGCTCTTATGATTCTGTAATTCTAAACCCTGAAGAGTCAGCTCTCCACTGATAGTTACGGGTTCTGAACCATTAAAAAGATATCTTATCCTAAACCAATAAATCTGATGAAAATAAGTATGGAATTCTTCCTTAAAGCACTGAGGCAGCCCCAGAAGACAGCTTGTTCAGAATGTCATAAATTCTGTCTTGTCTTGGTAGCCAGACAAAATCTCTACCTCCTGTCAGTTTTTCCTCTCCTGCAAAGGTAGTGACTGTTACATTACACTAAGCTCTGGAGATGTCATGCATATTACCCTAGTTGAATTTGGGTTTTAAAAAAAGTAAAGACTGTTCTTTTACATTTTCAGACTGGAATGAATGTGCATTTAGAGCAGAGAATGATTGCAGTATGTTTGCAGAATGCATCAATACAATAGGCTCATATATATGCAGATGCAAGACGACAACAGACGCCAATCCACTCCGACCCGGGAGAAACTGTGAGGGTAAGAAACTCATCAATTGAAACAGGTCCTTCAGGAACCCCTTCCTAAGTTTGTCATTGTAGAGGCTCTTCCATATGATTATCTGGCTTGCAGATCCCATGAATACGTCTCTTAGACTACAACCTGCTCCTCTTCACAATCTATATATATATAAATGCTCTGTGCATAATGAGTACCTTAAAAACAAAAGAACCAATGAACAAAATCACACCAAATTTGGCAACAAAATGTCTCACAACACAAGGAGTGACCATCACTCAAAAAATTATGATTTTGTCATTTGGGAGTTGTAGTTGTTGGGATTTATAGTTCACTTATAATCAAAGAGCATTATGAACTCCACCAATGATGTAATTGAACCAAACTTGGCATACAGGACTCCCCTGACCAACAGAAAATACTAGAAGGGTTTGGTGGGCGTTGACCTTGAGTTTGGGACTTGTAGTTCACCTACACCCAGAGAGCACTGTGGACTCAAACAATGATGGATCTGGACCAAACTTGGCATGAATATTCTATATGCCTAAATATGAACACAGATGGAGTTTGAGGGAAATAGACCTTGACATTTGGGAGTTGTCGTTACTGGGATTTATAGTTCCCCTACAATCAAGGAGCATTCTGAACCTCACCAATGACAGAATTGGGGCAAAATTCCCACACTGAACCCCTTGACCAACAGAAAATACTTAAAGCCATCCAGTCCAACTCTCTTCACCAGGAAAAGAAAATCTAATCAAAGCCCTCCTGACAAAGAGCCATCCAACCATAGATATAGATAGATATATATGATTCACACACAGAGAGATATAGTATCATAGAGTTGAAAGGGACCCCTAAAGAAGAACAATGATATGTTGCATGTTCCAGAGTAGGCAAACCAGACAATCTTCACATCAACACTGACAAAGAAACAGCAAGAAATACTGTTTACCCACAAGCAGAAAGACATTACATAGATTACATGAAAGCCTTTGACAATACATAGATTAGATACCATTACTTTATTTTCCAGATCATCAGACTGGGCCACAGCAATGCGTGGCAGGGGACGGCTAGTATATTACAAATTGCTTTATGTTAGTACAGTATGTACAGTAGTTATCTGCATAATAATTAGATAAAGATGTGTATTAATAAATTAATGGATGTAAATTGTATTATTAACAACGTTGTGTTTGTGTTATGCAAAATATGTTACACTGTAGGTGAAATTGTGGATCCTACTACAGAAATGGTACCCACGCTGGAAGCAATTGGTAGAGAAGGACTGCCAGTTACAAATGACACTGCTCCATTCACTGCTAAGTCTACTGAAGCAATGACAGTGTCTTTGAGAGGCACCCAAAAGTCAAGCACTCTTCCAACAGCCCAAAAAAATCTAGCATCTCAGAGAAAAAGCACCTTAGACCTTATTAGGGATAACGACACCCTGAGTACCTCAGAAACAGCTGATCCAGTGATGACAATTTGGGGCAATGTCAGTACATCAAATGGAAACTTAGCTGAGGAGGCACTATCAATACAAAAAGAGCAGAACTATTCATTGTCCATGTTACCTGGAGATTCAAACACTACCATTTATCCTTTTGTGATAAATGGATCAGGAGAAGAGACAAACCTGTTTGGTGTCTTAACTAACAGACATTCCCAGGAAGATCCAGTCCTGAATGTAACAGAACGTCTTGTTCTGAACCACAGCCTTGATATAGAGATGGGGAAAGATAACAGTTCGTGGTCAGAGGAAAAACTATCCAAAATGTTACACCCTCCTCTGTCTTCCTCCATGGAGCACTCACATTGTGTTCTTGTTACTGACACTGCTGGTGAGTTTGACTTTACAATAAAACTTTTTTTAAAAATCAGTTCATATGATAAAAACAGCCATTGTAGATGTGCAAAACAGAAGTGATTTTAAACATAATAAAAGCAATCTAATTGTTCCATTTAGATGTGTTAAAATATAACTGTACAATAAAAACAATGTAATAAATTCAATACACACAATGAAATGCAATAAAACTCAGTAGTAAAAAAACCCATAAAACACTCAGACTAACTTAAAATGGCTCAGTAAACAAAAAGATTTTGACCTGTCACCGAAATGATTTTAAGGACTGGACTGATTATGACTCGGTGAGGAGAATTTTCCACAAAAAGTGCACCAATAAAGAGAAAAATCTTTAACATTGTCATACAACAAACAATAGTCATTTTGAGAGGAACTTCTCTCGCAATTATACAAGAGAAGTTAGCTAAAGTGAGATCTGTAGAACCAATTCTTTACCAGTGCCTGGAACTACTTGTAAGCCCTACATTAATTTATTTGCGGCTTTTCAGAAAGTGAAAAACAGCAAATAAAAAAAACCTGCTACTTTTTTTTTAGGTTAAAAGAACGCTTCTTTAGGAATCTTTAGGTCCTCTATGGTAAACTTCTGGCAGAGCATTTTAATCAAATCCATGAATAATCAAAGGCATAAAAGTCAAACCTGCAAATATGGAGGGTTGACTGTAGTACAATAAAAATAGCTATTTTACTTGTCATGTCTTTCAGATTTTTGAAGTAATGAGGGTTGTAACAAAGACATGATTAATAGTACAATTCTACAGCATTAATAAAATTAACTTCCGCAAAAATCTTACTTTGAAGAGAGCTACATTATTTTACTCATTTTTAGTCATTGAAAAGTTATTGTCAATACATTGATAAACTCTTTGTGTAATCATTGACAATTAGTGTTAGTAAGTGGTATTTTATTGGAATAATCTCTAAACTCTGCTTTCGGTCAAGTATTAAAAACTATCCCTGTATTGAACATTTTGCTAGCAGCTCACAATAGTATCTGAAGCTTCTTCTTTTTTAAAAAAAAGCAATAAATAATGTAACAACAAAACATTAGGTTTGTTTTCCTCTCTTGAAGATTGAAATATTATCTCTCTCTATTTTTTTAGTGTCTCTCCAAGCTGGAAAAATAGTTTTTTCCAATGTAACCAGCACCAGCTTTCATGTTGCCTGGACCACAATTTTTCCACTGAATTCTACTTTCCAGTTTTCAGTCTTTGAGGGAAAGAAGCTTCTACAGGAGGTTAAAAGCCAGAGCAGCAACGTGACTTTTTCCAGATTAAATCCTGGGATTTTGTACACTGTTAAGCTTCAAGTGGAGGTTTGTGGAAAGAAAAGTAAACCAATACAGCGCAAAGTAAAGACAGGTAAAAAAAGGAGTTCGTTTGAAAAATCTAGTTCCCTAAAAGTCCATAAAATAAAGAACAACTCTTTATATTCATAAAGAACTATTAAATATTGGCAGACCTTTAGTACAATCAATATTTTGTTGCATAGATCATATGAGGGTCTTTCCATGTTTACTGTATATCTGTGGAATACACATTCTGAAACCAATGATGTCAGATCGATAACTTCTGCCTCATCCCTAAATGGGGCAGAATAGACTAATAATGCATTCTGGCCTAAATCCTAGTTGGGACTGTGTAAAGTCATTTAATCAATTTTATTTATTTACATATTCACTCACCATTCAACAGTTCATTGAATGGATGCACAGACAATCCCCAAGTTATGAACAAGATAGGTTCTGTAAACTTGTTCTTAAGCTGAATTTGTTTGTAAGTAGGAATAAGTACTTTTTAAAGTGTAATTCCATATATGTGTATGTGTGTGCGCGTGTGTATGTGTATGTAGCATAGGGGAGGGTTAATACCCCTGTGGGGTTTGTTTTTGTCTGTACCCCTGTTCAGAAAATTTTACCTCATTTTCTGTCCCTGTGATAATTGGATTTTGAAAACAGTTGTCTTGTTGTGGGAACACGGATTGGTGAAAAGCTTCAGTAGAGAAGCTTTTCCCATAATAACTCTTTCAGGAGAGACTTTCCCTTCTGAGGTGTAGATTTCTCACACTTCCTGTTGTCTCATCCCCATTCTTAACTATGAGTAGTTTGTAAGTCAGATGTTTGTAATTTGGGGACTGCCTGTAGTTTAGTTGAGCATAACCAATCCGATACCAACTTCAGTCTGAAAGTAACATTGCTTTGTGCTTGAAAATTGTGATCTGATCAACATCTTTATAACTCTCCTTGTGGAGAGAAAAAGTGGGGTATAAATAAACATAACTAATAATAATAACTAATAATCCTGACCTTTTTCCTAACTAACTTTCAGCTATCCAGAAATTTAATGGGACAGTAAAGATATCAAATATGAATATCAAATAGACCAGAGCTCAGCAATTCAAGTAGTGAAGAATTCCAAAATCTTACACAGTTGTTTCTCACTGAGGTGAGTATGGAGAAAAGAGGGGAAATTTAGTTTTCTAATGCATAATTCTGTGAGTGTGCGGTATCATTTTGAAAATAATAATAATAATAATAATAATAATAATAATAATAATAATAATTTATTACCCGATTCTCTTTGCAGCTTGAGGCAGGGTAAAACATGGTGAGATAAAACAAAACACTATTAAAATACATATCAAAATATACACACAGGTTAAATGCAGATTAAAATTCACAACATAAAATTGACAGACTCTAGGACTTGAACTCATAATCTGTTGGTTATACTGTTGGGAAGGTGAATGGTAATCCAGTAGCAAGAACATGATGGACAGCAATTTATACCCAGCCACCATGATCACTAACCATGCTCTCTGAAAGATTCTGAACATTGTACCCCAAAAGTAAGGCCCTCTGTCTTGTCCCCATCAACCGCACCTGTGACGGTGGTGGGACCGAGAGAAGGGCCTCCCCAGGAGATCTCAAGGTTAGATACATAGGGGGAAAAAGGTAGCAGGTCTGGCCAAATTTTCATTCTGATTTTGGGCCAGACCTGGAAAGAAGCCAGACCTGAAAATCATATGTTGTAGTAGAAGAGGTATAGTCCCCTTTTCTTTACATCAGAATTTAAGAAAGTTCTCGGTGGTGGCTCCCTGGCTTTGGAATGCCCTCCATAAAGAGATTGGATTAGCTCTAAATCTCCAAACCTTCCATTTGAGCCTAAAAATATGGCTATTTACCTGGACCTTTTACCTGGAGTAATGTACTATAGTCATGTGATGACGTCGACCATTGTTGTTCGGCACTTTAGCTCGTGTTTAAAGAAACCGAATGATCCACAGGAATGACTGTGTTTTATAACTTGTAAAAAAATATTTTATTGATTGACAATATCCATTGTTTGTATTCAGTCAAATTTTGTATTGTTTTGATGATATGTAAATCTCTTTTATGTGTGGCACCTTGAGTGCTTTGTGCCCCTGTACTTCGAGTCCCTTCAGGGAGATGGTGGTGGGGTACAAATAAAGTTTTACTTATTTATTATACTTGTTCTTAAAAGACTGAACAGGTTGGGTTTTGTGTATAGATGTGAGGTTTTTGACTGTGAATATAGATTCTACTTTGGTACAGATCTACATGTATTATTGTTTTTTGTTGTTGAATGAACTGATTCAGAAGTGGGACCAATGGTCATCATCCTTCTTGTGTTGTATTTAGTGAATTCATATTGTGAAGAACAGAATATATTTTTATGTTATCTCACATTCATGCAACAATATTTCTCAAAAGGAGAGAGTTTAGAATTATTTAAACCCACTGTGCCTGTGAGAAACTGCTCAATTCAAAGTATTCTGTACTTTAAAAAATAAATAAAGGAATAACTGTTCTAATTCAGTCAGTTTGAAGGGTAACTGAAGGTATAGTTGATTACTGGCTAATTTTTCTAGTGTAGGATTACCATGTTTCCTGAATTTTCTGTAATTCTGTGACTAAATCTAAATTTAAAGCCCTAAACGGTTCTGGCCCAACTGCGACCGTACCTTGGGAAGTCTGACTTGGCCATGGTAGTCCACGCTCTGGTTACATCCCGTCTTGATTACTGCAACGCTCTCTACGTGGGGTTGCCTTTGAAGACGGCCCGGAAGCTCCAATTAGTCCAACGGGCAGCAGCCATGATACTAACAGGAGCGGGGCGCAGGGAGCACACAACTCCTCTGCTGCACCAGCTCCACTGGCTGCCGATATGCTACCGGGCTCAATTCAAAGTGCTGGCGTTGGCCTTTAAAGCCCTAAACGGTTCTGGCCCATTATCTATCCGAACGTATCTCGGCCTATCAGCCCACCAGGACCCTAAGATCTTCTGGGGAGGCCCTGCTCTCTATCCCGCCTGCTTCACAGGTGCGGCTGGCGGGGACGAGAGACAGGGCCTTTTCTGTGGTGGCCCCTCGGCTTTGGAACGCCCTTCCCACAGAGGTAAGATCAGCCCCCTCCCTGATGGTGTTTCGTAAAAGATTGAAGACCTGGATGTTCGTACAGGCATTTGGCTAATTGGTACAATGAACTGATGACTAAAGGATTGGTAACACGGACGATGAAATTGGATCATGATTTTAGTTAAGAGATGCATTGGATTATTATCGACGGGCCAATATTGTTTATTGTGTATGTTGTTTTTATGGTTTTAAATTGAATATTGTTGTTTGTTGTACTGTTGTAAACCGCGTTGAGTCGCCAATTTAGGCTGAGAAACGGCGGTATACAAGCACAGTAATAAATAAATAAATAAATAAATCATGAAATTTTGATATTTCTCTAAGAATCATGCTGCCTACAAACTGTAAAGTTCAATTCATTCTTAATATGCATATTCAAACAGTACCCACATTCTTTGTTGATAACAGGTACGCACATCTTTGCCTCATAACACTCTTCAGAAAATGGATGCTGGTATGATTAAAATGTTGATAATGAATATTTCCAATGGAAGTATTGTGATAAACTTCAGTCTCCTGATTCCAACAGAAATGGACGCAAACAATATTACCTGCTCTTTTTTTGATGCTTTACAAAACAATCTTCATTTGAGCGTTGATAACAATAGTCTCTCTATACATGGTAAGTTGGTAATTTATTCCATCGAAATGATTAGATCTTGCTTCTTGTCATCATTTGTAAACCTTTATTATTTTCACTGAGCTTGTTCCTGTTTGTTTCACAAATTAACACATGGTCCACAATCTCACAGTTAAAATAGTAGATGTTTGACCAAAAATATAGCACTATCAATGATTATGAATATATTGATTCATATTCAGACTGCTAGATCCTTATCACGTGGACTGTTTTCAAGTCAGGTATCACCCATCCTATATTCATATGTTTCATTTTCATTGCCTAAGTGTATCATCATACATTTTTTCCATGTTGAAATTGAATTTTTTTTCCGTTTTGGACCAGCACTCTAATCTGTTAACATCATTTTGGATTCTGATCCTGTCCTCTGCAGTGTCAATATCCCAATTTTGTGTTGTTATTATAATAATAATAATAATTATTATTATTATTTATATACGCTTTTATTATTGTTGTTGTTATAATAATTATTATAATTATTATTTATATACGCTTTTTCTCTCCACAAAGGAGACTCAAAGTGGCTTAACATGAAAGCCGTAATACACAATTAAAAATATACAAATATACAAACATTAAAACAGAATTAAATATGAACAGTATTAAAAATTCATAGTTAAAAACCATATTAAATGCATATTCAAGTTAAAATCACAGCATCTCTTGACTTCATCTTAAAAGCCTGCCTGAATAAGGGTTTAGCCTGCCACCGAAAGGACAGCAGGGATAGGACCATTCTGGGTAGGGAGATCCAGAGTTGAAGGGTAGCCACTGAGACAGAAAGCCCATTCTCTCGTTCCCACCAACTGAGTTTAAGATGGAGGTGGGACTGAGAGAAGCACCTCTCTTGAAGATCTCAGGGCCCGGGTAGGTTCATAGAGGGAGGTGCAGTCAGCCAAATAACCTGAACCTGAGCCATATAGGGGTCATAACCAGCACTTTGAATTCTATCCGGAAACAAACTGCAGTCAGTGGATTGTCCACTCCCTGTAGCCAGCCCCAGTTAGCAATCTGGCTACAGCTCCACGTAGAGCGCACGTTGAACACTCTTCAAAGGCAGCTCCACGTAGAGCACATTACAGTAATCCAGATGGAGCCCTCCTTGCCACCACATATACCTGAGCTTCCAGGTTCAGCGCCAAACTGTGAACCTGTGTTTTCAGGGGGAGTGTAACCTTGTCCATCACAGGCTCGATCCCTATTCCCTGATCTGCCTGCTGACTGACCAGGAACACATCTGTTTTGTCTGAGTTAAGTTTCAGTTTGTTTGCCCATGATAAGCATGCCCTCTATTCCATTGTCCAAGTTATTGATACTTGACACTGTGCAAAATGTCCTTTTGGTGTCTTTATGGAATTTTCTGTTGCATTATTCTTATTTTATTTTTTTAAAATAGATTATGATGAGTGTGCAAGAGAAGAAACTGATTGTTCTCCTGATGCATCTTGCTATAATACTTATGGCTCATATGAATGCAACTGCAAAGAAGGATTTATCAATGTAAATGCTGAAAGACCCGGGAGAATTTGTGAAGGCAATGTTCAATATTCTTTTTTTCATTTCTTTCCAGATGTGATTTAGTCATAAAATTGCCATATTGTATTTGCTATGGGCAGAACTCCAGTGCACATTTAAAGTGTTGTGTATGTCATATATTTCAATCAGCTTGAACTATTTGAATTGGCTAATTACGTATAAACTTACAGTAGATTAGCAGTGTAATCTTGCCTGATCAGAAAAGGATGCTTGCATTTTTATTATTTTGTTCTCATTCTAGTTTGTCATTGCTGTTGTTGAGTACTTTCAAGTAGGTTTCTGTGAGTTTTCCAGGCTATATGGCCATATTCCAGAAGCATTCTCTCCTGATTCACCCACATATATGCCAGACATCCATGTGACTGCCACAGATATGGGTGAAACATCAGGAGAGAATGCTTCTGGAACATGGCCATACAGCCCTGAAAACTCACAGTAACCCAGTGATTCTGGCCATGAAAGCCTTTGACAACACATTTTTACCTTCAAGTTGTTTCTGAATTATGGCAATCTCAAAGGAAACCTATCACATGATTTTCTGGGACTGAGAGCATGTGACTCACCCAAACTCTCCCAGTGGATTTCTGTGATAGAGTGAGGAATCAAACCCTGATCTTCAGAGTAGCCTGCACTGGCTTTAAATCTTGATATCATTTCATAGTGGTGATCCAGATGCATCTTAGTCATATAAATTTACAGTTCATGTATAAATAAGACTTTGAAGTTTTATTTGCATCAGTTGAGATACGAGTATGGGTTGGGACACAGCAGCAATCCAACAAAAGATTTCCAGAGCAAGGCAACTGAAAGAAATTGTCTAATAGTAAAGAGTAATATAATTTAACAATTGTGATTTGTTTGTTTGTTTGTGTGTGTGTGTGTGTGTGTGTGTGAATCTTTTGTGATGGATAACATAGCCATTTTCAGACAAAGCAAACATTTTGTTCTTGATGAGATACTTGAAAAGTTACTGAAATTGGGACTGTGTGAATATGGCCTTTATTTGCTCCAGCCAAACAGGGTCCCTAAAAATAGCTTTTCATTGTGCCCCAATATGGTTTTTCCGACAAGAAGAAACATAAGCAGCAAACAGCATTCCAGCGAGGTGAAGATACTGCCAAGTTAATTGGGTTCCAGTCCTCTTGAAAATATTTATTTGGACCTGACCATCACAGTGGGTTGGTGTGCATTTCCCATTAGCACCCAGTTTCTTTAACTACTGATATGTGTATTTTACTCTGGAAGAAAATAAATTGCAAAATGCAATTGGTAATACTCTTTCCCCTCTCATTCTATAGTACTATGTTCCAGTCTCGATCCTGAGGCTACACAGAAAAAAGCATGAAGCACCACAGTCTTGCCTTTGACTTGTCCATATACTTCAAGTCATGAACCATTATCATCTTCTGTCTTCACAGCCAGAGGTTTGGAGAATGCAACCACAAGCACTACAGTGAATAAAGCATTAACAGAACCAATAGTGAAAGTCCATCATTCACCTCAAGCCTCATCCTTGCCGTTCACTACATTTTCGATTAAGAATGAAGTCCATGTGTTTTGTGAGCTTGAAAAATTTTTCATCACCATCCAGAAGGCCTTCTTGCAGAAACAATCAATTCCAGAGTCGTCTTTGTATCTAGGAAGACCTCACTGCAATGTAAGCCAAAGTAATTCCAGTCATGCTGTGCTTCAGGCTGGATGGAACGAATGTGGAACTGAAGTCCAAAGTGTAAGTCACCTTGATTTGTGAAGAGAAAGTTTGATGGGATTCAATTGCAGATAGGAAGAATAATTGGTAAACTGATATACATTACTAAAACATTTGTTGTGGACTCCAGATTTATAATCCCAGCTTCAACAGGAATTACTTGTTTAGGGAATCAAGAAATAGATCTTGAACAAGCTTTTCCAATAACACTGCAGTTGTTTTAGTACCAAGTTAGCTGTTCACAGTATTCTGCTGGATAATGGGCTATATTTGATTTTGATGAATTTGTTGTTTAGTTTAAAGTGCTTTAAATTATTCTATGGATTATATCTCAATCTGGAATTTTCAGATGTAGTCTGAGATATAAATATATTAAAGAAGAAATAAAACTGTGTACATGGTATCCTCAAGAAAATAACCTTTCATACATACTCACATATACTTTTTGATAGCAGTATGTGTGAAAAGGGTCTTGGAGTCCTCGTTGTCAACAAGTTAAGCATAAGCCAACAATGTGATTCAGCAGCTTAAAAAGCCAATGGGATTTTGGCCTGCATAAATAGGAGTATGTTGTCTAGATCCAGGGAAGTCATGCTACCCCTCTATTCTGCCTTGGTCAGATCACACCTGGAATCACACTGTGTCCAATTCTGGGCACCGCAATTGAAGGAAGATGTTGACAAGCTGGAAGGTGTACAGAGGAAGGCAGCTAAAATGATCAAGGGTCTGGAGAACAATGCCAGCGAAGAGCAGCTTAAAGAGCTGGGCATGTTTAGCCTGCAGAAGAGAAGGCTGAGAGGAGATGTGATGGCCATGTATAAATATGTGAGGGGAAGTCATAGGGAAGAGGGAGCAAGCTTGTTTTCTGCTGCCCTGGAGACTAGGATGCTGAACAATGGCTTCAAACTACAGAAAAGGAGATTCCTCCAGAACATTAGGAAGAACTTCCTAACTGTGAGAGCTGTTCAACAGTGGAACTCTTTTTCTCAGAGTGTGGTGGAGGCTCCTTCTTTGGAGACTTTTAAACAGAGGCTGGATGGCCATCTGTCGGGGGTGCTTTGAATGCGATTTTCCTGCTTCTTGGCAGGGGGTTGGACTGGATGGCCCACGAGTTCTCCTCCAACTCTGTGATTCTATATCTCGCACGTTGATTGAATTATAATGCTTTCATAACTCATTCAATATTTAATCTATCCAATAGATGTTCGTACTATTATAATAAACTATTATCTCTTTCATTTATTTCCTTGAGCCTTATACAGAAATAGCAGTATAGACTCCAAAACTGAGTTGTAAAATGGTAACAGTTATTACAAAAAAACAAAAACAAAAGCCAACCTGTGGAGTGGTTTGAGTGTTGAGCTAGATTTCCAGACCAAGGTTTAAATCCTCACTTGGTCATGGAAACTCACTGGGTATATCTACTAGTGAGGATATAATGATTGAGGTGGGAATTCAGACAGAAGACAGTAAGCTCAAGGTGGTGGTTGGTGAATGTTGGGCAACTCCAACTAATAACTCAATGGATCAGCCATCATTTCCTTTTATACATGTCAGGTAAGTATCTTTCTTATGAGAATGTTTCAAGTTACTAGCTAAGATGTGCTCAGCAAAGTACTATTTGTCATTCTCAAGAAATGTGAATTCAGACATAAAAGGGTCTGGTGATCTTGGACAAGTCCCATTTGTCACAATGTCAGAGGAAGGCATTGACAAAAACTGTTTGAACAAATATTGCTGAGAAAACCTGTGATAGAGTCACCTTAAGGCTGCCATAAGTGGGAAATGACATGAAGACACACAACACCAACAGATGTTGTTAAGCAAAGGAAATAGTTAATAGAGAGTAAAATAACTAAAAGGATGAAATAAAAAACTATGTTCTTTTTTCCTTTATGTTTCAGAATACAACACATATCATAGTAAAAACAATTCTCCAAAATGATATGTCTTCTCTGGGTGCTATCCACCATTTAAAGGTTGCCAGTCCAATTCATTGTGTGTTTCCAAATGATCTCTTGACTTCAACTGGATACACTTCAGAAGGGTAAAGAAAATCTCAACAAATAAATAGCAAATAGAATAACAAAAGACATAATAGTGATCATTCATGTGAAAAAATACATTTTAAATAGAAGAGAACTATAAGTCTTTGAATTTGCTGATGAAATTAAATTATAAACAATCCTGTTCCCAACTAAGAACCTTTCTATAGTTTTAATAATTCACTCGTATGTAACTTTCTTCAATGCTTTGTGTTCTAGGCTGCAAAAGAGGAAAAGGTTGTATTATTCTATTCCTGAAGCTGAGAATGGAACCGGATTATTGCCCTTTTGCAGTATTTAGATGTAATGTTGCAATTTTGCATGCATAAGAAAGAGGAAAAGAGCACTAAATTTTGTTAATCTAGACTGATTTCTTTGCAGGGTTTATACTATATTTGAGGATTTGCACGGATCAGGACATTTCTTAACAGAAATGCAGTTGTTCATTGGAAATTCTCCAATTCCCAGAAATTTCAGTATATCTGCTAGTGAGGATATAATGATTGAGGTGGGAATTCAGACAGAAGACACTAAGCTCAAGGTGGTGGTTGGTGAATGTTGGGCAACTCCAACTAATAACTCAATGGATCAGCTATCATTTCCTTTTATACATGCAAGGTCAGTATCTTTCTTATGAGAATGTTTCAAGTTACTAGCTAAGATGTGGTCAGCAAAGTACTATGTGTCATTCCCAAGAAAAGTGAATTCAGACATAAAAGGGTCTGGGGAACAACAAAAGCAATCCGTATCTACTAGTAGTATGTCATGTAAGAGTAAAGAAAATGACAGATCTGGAGATGGAGGTCAGGATAATTTGTGTCCATTATGTATGTTGGATATGGTATTTAAGTGGCTGTGATAAGCTTAAAAGCATCAGATCCTGTCTAATCTTGGAAACTAAACAGGGTCATTCCTTGTTAGTAATGGACAGAAGACCACCAATTAATACCAGCTGTTGTAAACTATATTTCAGAGGAAGGAACTACCTCTGAGTATTCCTTCCCTAAGAAAACACAATTTTCCTATGAAATGGTGTTTTCCTAAATCCACAGTCCACTTGGAGGCACAGACAGACACAATCCAACCTCCTCCCACAAAAACATTTCCCAAACCTTGCCTTTCTTGAGGCAGAAAACATGGTAGATCTCGTTTCATTTGGTGCTGGTGGAGATGGACCACTCTTCCTCCACAGGCTGTATTCTCTGACCATGAATTTTCAATAGCAAGAAGACTTCTTAGAACCCACAGATTTGCTTATGTTGCTATCACTGGGAAATTTGAGCTTTGATGGTGATAGTGGGCTTTAATGTTCAGTCAGACATTATAATACAAGAACAAGGATACATTCCCGATGAAGACTTGTGTGTATGTGGGGGGGGGGGTACACAATGGATAGTACAGTAAAACAGAGTGCATCTTGCAAAAATATATAAATAAATAAACAAAGCAACTAGAAACTATACTTTCAGGTTGGCAGGTCTGCACTTTCTCAATATTTCAATGCATCCCTCAGAGTAATGCACCAGGAATGGATATATCTAAACATGCATTTCTCTTATGATGTTTTCCGATTGGAACTGTCCTTTTTATATTTGGTAACAGCCATTCATTTTTAATGGCAGTATTTTATCTTTTTTACACAAATTGCCGCACTTCAGTATCAGAACCTTTCAATAAGAACAAGAGGAGAAGTTCGTGGCTAAATAAGGTTTAAGTTGGAAGATTCTAAGTTTTAGTCCAAAAATTATAACAACTCTCAAGCTTTAATTATGATATGCACTCAAAGCACACTGCCAAGGTTATGAGTGCCACATTGGTGTACTCTGTCTAACAGCAGAACCTTAAAATGTTTTGAGTGTTTCCAACAAGCAAAAGAGACTGAAGACTGGGAAAGTGTGATAAATGAGCTCCAGCAGTTTTAAACATATCTTTACCTAATTCTGCATTGAAACAATTGGAAATTTGAACATTTCTGTGTTGGCAATACATCCTGTAAAAGAAAAAAAATGAATTTCATGGCACAGCATGTTTCAAAAAGGCGCAAAGAATATTATTTATCTTTCTAAAATATGTGCAAATGCACCCAGGTCAGTCGAGTCAAGTGTCATAAATATATCCATTTGAAACAAGTGCCCAAAAATTATGAACAATGAAACAAAACTTACCACAGAGACTGGGAATATCTGTGTATAGGATATCCCTTCCATTGTTTAATTAATTAATATTTGGATGTGACATGATAAATAGTAAATAAATTTAAAATATTTCTTTTAAACTAAATACATTATAGTATAGTGTGATGCTTTGTTTAAGTGGCAATTCATTAATATTATTAAGATACAAAATCAAAGTACATCGTATTATTGAATTGTTATTGCTATTGTTATAAATCATTCTGCAACTTCCACTTGAAGTATATTGACACCGCTCTCAGTATGTACTGCCTGGAAAATTATCATAATTTTTAGAGGACTCCCATAAGAAGAAATATAATTTTGTGGGTGATGTTGATTCTTATGTCTCTCCAGTTATTTAATTGATTTCTATTTTTTCAGCTGTCCAGTTCCAAATGCTCACACCACCATGATTTCAAATGGGATATCGAACAAAGCTCAGTTTAAGCTGAAAATCTTTTCTTTTGTCAATGACTCAGTAGTTTACTTACATTGCAAAATCCATGTTTGTGTGGAAACACCTGGGACTACTTGCAAAGCGGTAAGGAGTGTCTCCACAAGCCCATTTTGAAAATCAAAGTCTTAATCAAAGTCTTAATTAGAGGCCCTTTCACACTAGACAGTTATAATAGCAGGATTCCACTTAAACTGCCACGGTTACACTCATGCAGAGGAAATGAAAAGTGATCACAGGTGAGTTCTGTGTACGTCAATTGGGAATTTATTTCAGTGGATATCACATGAGAGGCCAGGAAACTGACTTGAAGTGCCTTGTATGAAAACCAAAATGAAAGCAAGCAACCTGACACTGAAATGAAAAATTCAATCTAATTCAATGCTGAAAGAAAGTCGATAACAAAGCACAAGTCCAGGAAAACAAAACTGTAGCAGACAAATTGCCAGGAAGAAAGAAAATCACAACAAGAGATTGTTTGGGTGCTGTAGAAAACCACATGTGGCAAACCCATGCTGACATTTAAATGCCTTTGCTTCTAACACCATTTCTTTTGTTTCATATACTTACTGGAGCTCCCTTTTGTTAAGGAATGAAAGCTAGTAGGTTTTTTTCTTAGCACATATATCTACTCCAATCTTGGTGTTGATGTTGCAAACTCACCCCGTTTTTAGTATATCTTAACAATTCTGAGTGGCTTTCAGTCAGAGGTTATGGAAATCTATAATTGTGTGCAGTTGTCCCATAGGACTGGATTTGCAATCTTTTGGCATAATGTTATTGTGTGCCAGCAAGTCATTTATGACTTATGATGATTCTAAGACCCCTTTTAAACTTCCCTATATCCCAGGATCTGATCCCACATTATCTTGTAGTGGAAACTTATACACTCCAGTTCAAGGCAGATAACTTGGGATCAAATCCTGGGATATCCTGGGGTGAGAAAAGCAGTATAGAAATGCAGCAAATTAATAAATAAAGAAATAAACAAATAGTGTAAAAGAGGTCTAAGACAAACCTATAAGGGGATTTACCCAGTAATTTTGGCAAATGCATGTAAATATTTCATATTAGAAAAAAAAACCCAATCTATGTCTATTTATTGTTGCAGAGCTGCAGTGGTTTCCGTTCTCAAAGGAGTGGGGAAACTATTGCAATGCCCAGGACATCATGGGGACCTCTACGCAGATCCGGTGGTGAGTAGTCAGTAAGGACATTAGGATTGAAAAGATTAATAGCCTGTGTGTAAGAGAGAGAATAGGTTTCATATTAGCAGTGGAATGAAATAAACATTACCAGGCATCTTCCAGTCACTTCGCTAGTTTCACCAGTAAGTGGAATGGTGGATGATAAAAATAATGGGAAGAAACTGTGAGGTAAGTCAGAAAAATGCATGGTCTATGTGAACCACTTGTATCACTGTTTTCCTGCAACAGATATGAAATTAACTCCTTGGTTCATGATAAGGGAACACATTTTTGATCATCAGTGAGAAAGGGTGTCCTGAAAAATCAAGAAATCCTGTTGAGAACATTTTCAACTGCTGCTAGAGTTTTTTTCCATTTTGGGACCTTTGTTCAAAAAACGTTTGTGCTGAGTTATTGCATAGCCAAATGCAGTCCCTTCAAGGTCCTGTTTTTTCAGCCTGTCATGGCCCCAACCAAAAGGTTTCCAAAGTGCTGCCTGCAAATCAGGACACTGAGAAATGACATCCGCTGTGGCCTTATGGCTGCAGTGTGCATGGGGAGCAAATAAATGGATAGACGCTTGGAGTTCTTCTGCAGTTGCTTCTATCATGGTGTCCTCATGACTGAGAGTGTTGCAGACATCATTTCCCAGTACCCCACTTTGCACTGTCTTGGAAACCCTTTCATTGGGGCACTGCCTAGCTGAAAAGATAGGGTTTGGGGGTCACGATCCAGTGGTGAGTAGTCTGTAAGGACTGCTGGATGGGACATTAGGAAGGAAAAGATTAATAGCCTGTGTGTATGTGTGTGTGTGTGTGAGAGAGAGAGAGATTGTCATTAGTAATGTAAATCCCCAGTTGTTGTGATATTGTAAGTCCAGCATATAATTTTGTAACTATTGAACAGGGTACCAACATGTTGTTGTTGTTGTTGTTGTTGCTGCTGCTGCTGCTGCTGCTCTTCTTTCTCCTTCTCCCCCTCCTCTTCTTTTTCTTTGGCATTTTTCTCTCACACAGAAACACAAGAAGAGGTTGCAGATTTGTAAGGAATATTTTGCTATGTAGATGTCCTATCAGAGGAAGCAGCTTGCAATGTCTTTGCACCCAGAGCTGACAATTGATCCTTGTGCCACACTATGGTTTCAAATGCTCACTAATTTGAAGATATAATATTAAAATCCCAAAGAGTCAAAACAGTGCACAATCTTGCTTCAAGTGTTTTTATTGCACATTGTATGACATACAGCTAGTTAAAGTCCCTGTGAAAATATCAATGAAAGGTTGGAGATTAGGTTTTATAGTTTTACTTACGTGTTATAATATAAAGTTAATATGATCTCAAAGGTCATATTTTCACCTTTTTTGTTTCAGATGATTTAAAAGAAGAAAAAGTGCCTGGTTTAGGAACAGGGTATATAATACTAATTGTGCTTGGTATATTTGTTCTTGCACTGGGAACCATAGGATTTTTGGTTGGCCAACACCAACGGAAGGCTGGCACTTACAACTTCAAAATCAAGTCTGACAATTTTAACTACCAAGTGTTCTATGACTGAACATTTCAGTTTTGATACATGTAAGTTCTGTTGCTCACTGAATTATTTTGAACCCTTATACAATTCTTTTAAATGAACTTTTAGAAGTTTGCCATATAGTGGTTGTAATAATCATAAATATCATAAATAAATATTATTGTTGTATAGTCCTTTCTTGAAGCAGTATATACACTAAAGGTTACCTACATAACAAAAGTCATATTTATCAGTTCCATCAAAGCATGAATATATAACCCAGAGTGGACTGTTAGATGGTGATTGTTAACAGTACTCCTGCTTGTGAATGTAAGGGAAAACTACCCAAAAATATAGCAGAGCATCCAAAAACAAACAGGATACTAAAAGTTGAGCATTCCGCTCACAGCTAGCAAAACATGAAGTGCCATTAAGAGCTTAGGCAGGTAAAGATGCAGACTCCTGTCTTTAAAAAAATCACAAAAGGTTTATTTACCATAATAAGTAGTAACTGCATTTCTTAATAGAAAATAACTGGGTCTGAGCTACTCTAACACCCATCTCTTCTAAGGTTTCAAAGAGAGGGAGAGGAAAACTCAGTCACTACATCTCTCCTGATACACAAGCAGAGAGAGATCTCAAAGCACACAGCACATACTAAGATGTAAAGTCAAAGTAGAGGCTTGCAGTAGCAAAGTATCATTTCTACACAACCAATCAAAATGAGAGCAGAAACACAGAAAGAAGAACAAAATAGACACATTCCAACTGTTATACAGGAGACATGGGAGAAGGGAAACCCTCAGCCTATTCTAAGCTAACTAAACTGTTGCTCATTGCTGTCTGGAGACTTGAGCAATGTGGGGTTGAAACAGCTACAAGCCTTAACCCCTTTTCCCAATTTACCCAAAGACTAGAAGATACACAGAAGAGGAGTGGGCTGAGAAGATAAATTGTGGCTTAGAAATGTGGCTGGGATGTCTTGGGGCACATCTACATGGGCCACAGAATTCAGGGCTGGTCCAAAACATTGTTGCTTCGAACCAGCCCCGGTTTCTACCAAGGTGTTTAAACCTTTCTGCTCTGCAGTGGCAGGAGCAGAGTATAAGTAAGCCCCAAGTTACAAACATCTGACTTACATACAAATCCCAGTTACAAATGGGAGTAGGACAACAGGAAGTGAGAAGAAATCTACCTCTAGGAAGGAAAATTAGCTCCTCTAAGAATTATCCTGGGGGAAAAGGTGTCTCAATTGAAGCTTTATTACAAGTCCTTGTTTCCACAACAAGCCAAATTTTTCAAAATTCAATTATTACAGGGCTAGAAAGTGAAGTGAAATTCTCTTGACAGGGGCACAGACAACAAAACAAACATTACAGGGATGTTCACCCTTATGCTACCAAAACTTTAAAAAGTGCAGTTACATTTTAAAAATGTACTTGTTTCTGACTTACATACAAATCTTACTATGTGTGTAGCCCAGGGACTGCCTTTACTGTCTGTCCAGATAAGCCAAACCGTATTGGCTCTACTTGGCGATCACCCTTACCTCTGTAAGGTTAGCAAAGGTGTTCATGCAACAGTCAGAATTTCTCAGAGCTCTGTTGCCACCACTACAGTGGCAAACAACGACAAAGGAAAATGCAGAGAAAATGGGTGGCACTGGCCTATATGAATTGTGGGAGGAGTTCCAAATCAGAACTGGTCCAGCTGTTCACACCAACCCCAAAGTGCTGGGCTGCTGTGAAGCTGTCCCAACACAGCTAAAATTGTGTTAATTGATTTTAACCTACATTAGGAACAAGGAACTCCTGAATGATGTCTTAATGCCCAGGAGCACCTTCTGGCCCACTTCAGGGTATGTAGACCGTGTTGGCAGTTGCTTGGTGGAAGGTGGGAAAAGGAGTTAAGGCCAGCCAAGTCCCTGAAGAAGTGGCTCACTATTGCCACCAATTGCAGGTTGGCACACAGCTTTTGTAAATGAGCAAATGTCCCTAATGTTGCCCTCAATTGCCATGTCTCTGGTGGCCAGGGCTTTCTGATGTCTTCACTGCTGCCATACGCTCAAGTCTCCATAAGGGACTTCAGCATCCAGAGTTTCTGATATTTTCAGGGTATCCATGCGGATACCAAGGATGCACTGTAATCAAAGTTGTCATTATATTCTCTTGGTATTCAAGATGGAAACATTCTACAAAATATAATATTGTTCCACTTGATGCTGGACATGATGTACCCGACCAAATTTAACCACAAACAGATGATGCTCAAATTAATTTTCTGCTTTCTTCATAAATCCTCTAAGAACTTCTCATTAGATTCACTTGTTATTTCAAAGCCCTTTGGTGTTCTTGCAACCTTTCAGAAAGAGAAATAATACTACCAATTTTGGTATTATTTTTCTCCCACATGCCCAAAATACCATTGTTGTTGACATCACATGTTCTTGAAAGGCAGGATGCATTAATCAGTGTAAAGGAACCACTTAAGACAGTTGCTCAACAAGTTTTCATTATGATTTTCCAGTCAGGCAATTAAGGGAATATAGAATTGCCATTTTCATGCAGATCTGCTAAGTGCACAACATGAGTGCTGGATTGTTGTCAAGGAAAGCATTTTGAAGTTGTTAAAGAAAATCAAGAGAAGCTTTGAATAACCTTTTTATCATGTGATGTAGTTACATGCCTGTGAAACAAGAGAGAGAGATTTATGTAATTGCTTCCGCCATGACAGGATAAAAAGAAATAAAAGTTGAGTCTGACTAATTACCCTTACAGTGTTGAATTTTTCTTTACAGTGCATGTGGCCCTCAATGGAAAGTATCCCTCTTTTTAAAAAAGCAAACACCTTCAAGAACTTGTTTAAACTTGAGTTGAATGACAATGGGTCACAGTCTATACAGGAAACTAGAGTTTCTAGCTTTGGGGGGAAAGACACTGCACAGATACATTATTACATGAGCAAATAGACACTGCATGCAAGAAAAGAAACTGTGCTTACAGGAAAGCAAGAGGGCAAGGTGTAATGCTGTACCTGAAGAGTAAAAAGCTGGTAATTCCTGTGTATATAGCACAAGTCTCATTCCATTCAAATATGTTTCGTGCATCTTACTTATTGTCAGTAGGACCCTACCACCCTAAACACATCCGGTCTGTCTGATTTTGAAAGCGAAGACTTGGGATCCATCTACACTGCCATATAATCCAGTTTTTGAGTCCAGATTATCTGTTTTGAATTGGATTATTTGGCAGTGTAGATTCATATAATCCAGCTCAAAGCAGATAATCCGGATTCAGAAACTGAGTGATATGGTAGTGTAGATCTAGCCCTGGGCAGTACTTCATTGAACGACCATCTCCATGTAGGACTAAGGAAAAAATCTGGCTGAAATTTTGAAGCGCTACTGCCATCAGAATACCAAGATAGATAGATTAAGGTTCTCACTCAGGTTAAGGAAGATTCTTATGTTTATGTTCTGTTTTTATGTCTTAATATAATTGACTGGTTGCCCTGACATGACAAATAAATAAATGTCTTAAGCTTATTCAAATCACAAGCTACAACAAGATTCTGATTTTTCTCAAATGGATGTATGTAGTGTATAGACTAAGCTTTGTTCTTTTTCTCCCTTATAGATTTTCAGAGCCTGTTATTACATGTAGAAGTTCAGCTTTTCAGTATCTGCCTGGTGTGTGCTTAAAGAGGTTTCTTGTTCAATTTTTGCTTATCCTGAAAGAAAGTGGAAGAAATCATAGGGAAGCTGACAAATTTATCATAAATCCATAGAATCTAAGAATGACTATTTTGCAATGCTTCGTTTATTTTGTGTCTTCCGACAAAAAATCCTTATTTTACTCTGCAGACATGTTAATTCTAATTTAAGACAATGATTTACTAAAGTTGAACTGTAAAAATAAAATTATTTTAGGATAGCATGAGACTTGGAACAAACCTGAATTTTTATTGCTTTCATTTAAGATGGGCTCTATTTTTGGTACATTTATTATACATTTTCATTCTAATGAACACTATTTAACTCCCCTGTGTAAACAAAAGACAAGAAGAACTATTTTTATGGGTTGCAATTATTGGGTTTATATACTGCAATAATGATATATACAACTGAGATTGGCTTGCATGCTAAGAGAAACCTAGGGGATGTGTAACTCAAGGTTATTCAGTAAATAAAACTACAATAATTATTTTTTACTAATTTAGATGTAACTCTGTAGTTGAAGCCTTTAATCCCAATTTTAGGCTAAATCCATATCTGCAAAACAATTTATCCTTACCTTGATCCCAGTGCTGTTGGAGCATTCCCACATTTCAAAGTCAAATCACTTATTTTAATCTTTCATGCAATTTTTAACATAAAAAATACTTTCTTTTCAATTCCAGATTTTTAGGGGGGGGGGGGATGTGTGATTGCCAATACACATTAGGTTCAGGGAATATATGCTTCTAACAGCGTAAAACCAGAGCAGGACAGTGTACACTGCAGCTGAATTATTTTGCAGGTACTGCATGGTTGTAGCCATAGTAATGAGGTGGGATTTGCTGAGCAATGAGATTAGCTCTCTATTCTATAAATTATGAAGTAAGGAAGAAGAACTTGAAGAGACAAACTGATAAGGTTTCCCCCTTTTTCCTGGTGTGGGGCAACAACTCCTCGGGGTTATAGACTGAGTAGACTCTAGGGAACCCCTTGATGGTGAATGCACCAAGGATTTCCCCATTTATGATCATGCTCAGACACAACAGGGCCAACTTGAACAGTTCTTGAAGAACAAGAACTGTTTCAGTTCAAGTGAAGCACATATTCTTGCTAGTGTTGGGGGGAAAAACCTCTTTAGTACTGAATGAGATTCAAAAATAGTATTAATGTCATGTCTACTGTTACAATAAAAGCATTTTGTAAATGTATTTAAGAGTTTTATATTATTTTATTTTTGTAATAACCTTGATTGAATAATCCACTTGTTACTTACTTGCTGCAAGGCTTCTACCACTTCAGCAGGTGCAGTCAAATTAAGAGCCCTTTACAC